CCCTACCATTCTCAGCTACCCTAAACCCTCCTTTGGCTGTGGCATAGAATCGAATCGAAGGGACCTCAACCTCATGCAAGTCTGTCTCAACTGCATTAACCAGCTAGAATCAACTATGCAACAACGCTAGATTAATTACTTTCATCGGAGTTGCGGAGTTTAGAGCTTATTTTGAGATCAACCTGGCACAGTCGGCCATCTCGGGTCATAATACCTTTTTGTCTCTAGATATCAAATGCCGAAGCCCCTGTTCGCCAGCTTATCGGGACGCGTAAAGCAAAAGAGGAAACTTAGAGTCAGCCAGGGCTGAGACATACGGCCCTGTGACGATATATCGATTCCTGCGTGTTGTCTCAGTTGCAGCCGCTCTTATTTAGTAATCAACTTTGATGTATAAAACTCGATTCAGGTAGTTTGACCCGAGCTAAGCCTGATCTGCCCTGGCAAAACGGAACAGCCCGATTGGTTCTCTCGCCGTGGCAACTCCGCCTGAGAACAGGGATCGCGCAAATGTTGCCAGAGACGGTCAAGCGGCTTGCTCCAAAAAGACTGGCGTCCCAATGCGTCCGAATATCCAGCGCGTACAACAGCAGGATTCGAAACGGCCGTAACTCACAATGGAAAGAAGTCTCCCCTTGGCTTGTCAGAGGAGCACGAGCCCGCGTACCCGCTTGTATATCTTCCATCTTACAATCTCCAGTTTTGGGTCCGGCATTTGGATGAATGTCACTCTATCTCGGCATATATTACCCTCTTTCTCGTCGCGTGTCCAAGGAGCTCGAATATCCTGCATCTATTTTCCCCGAGTAACATCATGCTGTGCGGCAAGTTCGACAGGCGTCGCGGAGGCCATCGCTGCATGGCCTGCAGGAGAGCTCACAAGAAGGTTTGTGGATTTCTTGCCCCTACCACACGTCTCTCCCAGATCGGTAGATTGCAGTAACGTGGTGCTGATTGACTATAGTGCGATGGTGGTGCTGGCAAAGCTTGCTCATACTGCACAGAGCGACTGATGAAATGCTCGTACGCCTCCGGGAGCCCGAAGCAGGACACTCTGAGAGTGGTCCAGTTTGCCCCTCGCAAGGCTATTGTCCTTGATAACTGGAGATATACGACGGCCTGCTTCGAAGAAGCCTTCGGTTCCCTCATGCAGTTTTCTGTTCTCCAGGGCGAGGAGATGATTTCCTTAAGCCAGAAAGATGCGGGTATCAGCCAGGTGGTTTCAACCATCGGCGAAATCTACATGTGCCGAACAAACGACTACCCCAGGTTTTTGGAAAGGAGAGAGGCGTTCCAAGAACTGGCAGCAAAGCAGAGGGCTGCTTGTTGTCAACAGATGCAGAGTCGTTCAGTGATATGGTCGAACGCGCCTCTGGCTTGCGCCCTTATGCTGGTCGCGATTGAGGTGACTCACGAAGGTTCCATGATATTTCCCCACAATTTTACTAACTGAGATCCAGATGATGCTGTTTGGGAATATCGATCCTTGCATGCCGTGGATGACAGATGCCTCCGACTACATCGAACGCACCACGGCGAACATGTCCGATCTGCCATCCTTTGATAAAGATCTCATACGTCTTGCCCAACTCATTGACGTTGTGAACTCGATTTCGCGGGCCCAGAACCCTGCAGGTTTTGACTTTGTCGATGCGAGGCTCAAGACTGAATTTCCTACGGGGAAGATTTTATATGGCCCAACCCCGCTGCTGAACAAGGATGCGGACTACATCTTATCAGCATTGTGGCATTGGGCTGTTTTACAGCAAAGGTGCGTAAACTGTTGTTCGTATTTTTGCATTTCTTCTTACTAAACATCTCATATAGAATGATTATTTGGTCCGTTGACGCCCAGTTCAATCCAATTCTCAGCCCGGAGAAGAAAATTGAAGGAATCGAGTTGATTTGCGCGGCATCTTCCTTGCAAACGAAAATCCTTCAATCGTATATGAATCTATCTGCTCTGTCAGAGGCGCATTACAACATGCTGGCACCATATAGTTTCTGGATTCTGATCGGAATATCTCAGCAGCTTCGGAACGAACAGTGGAGCACTCTTGAATGCGACATTCCAGCTCTGCCAGATGATTGTCTACACCAATATGCGATAGATACACTTGATTGTATCGGCGCAATGGCTGGAAAAGCCGGAATTCTGGTCGCGTCTTTCATCTCCATTGTATTCACCATGGGCCTTGAGATGGTGAGCGATGAGGACCGAAGAAAGGCTTACGGACTGTTGGATATCCAACAAGCCCGCTATTTCGAGATCTCTGACCACTTCAAGTTTGTTCTGAACGAATTATGGAGCCTCAACCTGAGGAACCCTACTGAGCTTTACATGTTGAAGATGGCAATGGGAGCCAAGGGTCTGGATTTTCGCCCTGCGAGGGGAATCGACCATCAATCCCCGGAACTTGCCGAAAACTTGGTCAACCAGCAACACGCCATGCTAGAGAAGGAACTCGAGATCACTGAAAGTGACTTGATGGGGCAGGTTCTCTGAGGTAATGGGAATCATGTATTTTTACGATTTCCTTCCTCATGACTCTGACGTTTCCTTTGTTATAGACTGTTACCATTCAAGAGCTTTCGCTTCTTAGGCTACTGTTTCTGCCTTTTCCTGTCTGTTATCCTTAATTGTCTAGGGCCTGGTTGCCGATTCATCCTGCATTCGTAGTAATTGATCTAGCTCTGTTGGGGGTGCTGTGTGTTGCGCCTGATCTTTTCACCAATTAACCGCAAAGTATCCCGGACATCCATAGTGTGACGGCAAATCTGGTGCGGAGCAAGTTCCTGCAATTACTGCTTCCTTGAGAAGCGACACGGCCTCTTCTCAGCCATCTCCTGCGCGCTGGCCGCAGTTTTTAGGGCGTATAAGTAAGGTAGACAGACATGGGTCGTGGTCAGGGCCAGTTATTTTAGGTGTGTATTTGGTGGAGTGACTCATTGGTTGACAAGCCTCAATGTACACGTACGCACTGCAGAGTCGAAATGTATCTTCATGGGTTGCTGGACTGTTATTCTATGAAGTTCAGCTCTTGAGAATGCGTATTTTTTGCGTTTTGAAAAGCAATGACCAGACAGAAGGCACAAAATTCCAACCGTTACTATTGTAGACTTGATCACCTTCGGAGAAACCTAATAATGGATGTTGGGGTTGTGTTCGCCCTCACAAACCAATGCAGTCATGTGCAAAAATTCCAGTGCCATTCATCTAGGTATCATTTTCCGAAAACAACAGTGAATGTAACGTTACAAGTCCGCCAACCGAGATTATCTGTCGGCGGCTGTCGGTATCTTCATAACACTCAAGACCCCTCTTTGTTATTCTTACTCTATGCACACGGAGAGTAAAATTGCTCCCGTCCCCGAGGCCCTAAAGATTCCGACCTGCATTGTTGCTGCCGTATTCTCAGTTATATATCTTCCTTCACAAGCCATAAGGAAAATCGATCAAACCAGTCACATAAACCGCTTTGACAAGGCTAATATCGCTATTTGGAGAATTCATCTTTTGAGTCGTAACTTTCCCCTACTCTCAAGATTTCATATCCTTACTTGACCAGTTTGGGTGCCGACACTCCCGCACTTGAGTAATCCGTGCCTGGGGTTGCTGATTCTTGCGACCACGCAGCCAATACCGCAACAAGATGCAATGGCTGGACCTCAACTTCCCATCAAAGCTCAGGTCTCCAATCCCACCCCATAAAGAGATCCTTATCTGATAAACGAGATTATACTAGTTGACACTCGGAAATTCAGCCCTCTACATTATTTGTGGCGGCATTCCCCCATGTGTGTGTGGCGATTGCATAGAACTTTTCTTCCGCCCAACGCCGATCGAAAACCGAAAACCGAAACCCCCTTCGTTCCGCTACTCCAGCAGAAAATATCACCAGGGATTGCTATATGCCGAGCCTTCGCACAGATGAACCTTGTGGTACATGCATGAGGGCGATCTGATCACCATTGCCGCTACCATCGTACTTGTGTTCGTTACATCTAGGAACTCATTCATTGTGTCTAACTTGGCTAGGGTCAAGAAATAATTTTCGGTCAACTCCGCAAGCTCCCTTGAGGTTACATCCACCGGATTCAACTTGAACCCTGACTTGCGTGGGTAGCTGGGAGTATTGAAGCCTTCCAGAGGGGCTCTCAGTTGCACCTAAAAACTGATCCAGACACTGATTGGACCAAGAACGTGACTGTCATTAAAACGAGGATCGTAGGGCTAAGAAGCTATTTCTTTTGAAAGTCTGTGTAAAAGGACACCGTCCATATCACCAAGCACAAACCTGCTTCTGTCTTGATTGCTATCTGAGGAAACGGTTGAAGTGACGACATCCAATGGGGACGTTTAGACGAATAGAGTGACACGACATTGTCTCAGTGTTCAAATGCTTATTATCGAACATTACCTCATCGTAAAATGTAAAATGTTGCTTTCCTATCACTTACTAAACTGCCATTGGCTTAATAATGTCTCATTTGGACCACACCCTCTAGTCGCACCTGCGTTCAATTCACTGGGTTTGTCTTTTGAATTTCTGAATGCGCGCCAACCTTTGAAAACAAAGACAACCCGCCTTAGTTAAAAAACCATCTCCTTGGGCCCAATCTTGAAGAATATTACCAGGTAATGCTCGCCTAAATACACCAAATGGTGGGGCTCAAGCATTCCGGGAGGACTTCCGTCCACAAGGTGTACACACGTCAAATGTGGCAAAATACGCCCGTTCTACCAGACCTGAAGGTTAGTATGTATAAGTACGTTAAAGGAAGCATGAATCTAAGGAGTCTCTTTATGTTGGTGGGCGTCGTGTCTTTATAAGACTGCTGGCAACTGTGACGAAGAACATTACTCTCACGCAGATTCTGTTGGGCGTGAAACAGAGGGAATGACACAAATGAGCGATTGTTGAAGGCTCTCAGGCTTTCATTGTGGGAAAATACTCACTACAATGTTCTCTCTAAGTAGTATCCTTCATGCTGGAATTCTACATCAGTTCTGAGACCAGTCCAAGAAGTACTGGCTCATCTTCGTCAGGAGCCTGATAAGGACCCAGAGAAGTCTTTTTCATTATTAAATCAATCACCCCATCCGCCCATTCAGCATCATCCAACATCAAGTTTCCCTCATATTCGCTGGAATATTTCACGCTCGAGAACAGTTGTGATTCGTGGCTTGCGTGAAACTTAGCGACCAAAGTCGCATCCGAGGGCTTTGGGGTACTTCTGCAATGAAATGGGTCTGGTCCTCTGTCTCCGACTTGGAACCCCTCCTGAATCACAAAATTCACACTCTCCCTGCTGCCCATGTAGAAGGTACTGCTACTAACATGGTATGAAATTCCATGATGGCCGGTTACGAGCTTTCTGTGCAACACTAGACCTGTGTCTCCGTTCCGAGCGGTCTCATCGAAAGTCATGAAAGCGTATCGCATCGTTCCTCTCTCACTAAGGAGGGTGATTTGGTGGATTTCAACAACATAGTCTCTGTGAGCCTCTAAAGCCTCTTCTGTTTCATCGAAAGGGTCGAAGGCAGGTTTTTGAGCCATGATGATTGCCGTTTCGTTCTTCGTTCAACGGGGGAAGATGTGTTGGCGCAGACAGGATTCCGGATGATTTGGGGTTGATGGCGATTTGCTAAAGCACTGGAATATCTGTTGGTTTATGTCGTCGTCCCCCCTTGTTTCTGTGAGAGTTAATGAGAGTTCAAGTTAGTCTTCTGAGGAAAGTGTTACCATCTGAATCATGGGATGGCATCTGAGTTTTGGGTTCTGCGTAATTCTGTCGCAAGACTGTTAGTATCCCAAAGCTAAAATTTGACTTGGTTTGCAGTTGCAGAGAGGCGAAGCAGGGATAATCAGTGGCGACCACTTGCCAATTGAGTATGGTATTATCGCCTATAAAGTTTAGTGTTTTAGGCTACTGAAGTTATCGTCATCTGCGTTGAATCATGCGCATGTATCAGGACTCAGGTTATTGTGCTTAGGATAACTCAATGATCTAGTGCATAATGACTCAACTGTGTATTGTTCTTGGTTCCTTCCGTGAATTAAAATTCGGGGACAAACGAATATTACATGAGCCTCATTAGCCAACACGATGCGGTTTGTGGATGTGGGCAAACCAAATGAGAACCTACGCCCGGCCTCTCTCGTACAACAAGAAGAAAGAACTCAGCGATACTACGGAAAAGTGTGAGAAGAACAAGCCCTTAGGTAATTAAAATAAGCAAATCCTCCTAGAAATGTCTTGAATTCAGCCATATGTTAAGTTCATTGTTATGTTCATGTGACTGGTCGTTATGTTGAGATGTCGGGTTAGCATCTTCTCTTGTTATTTAACTATATGCTCGAACTCTCATAAGTTCATGTGACTGGAGCTGGGCCCCGAACATCCACACATCCCTTCATCCATTGATCCAGGAGGCTTCTAGGAAAGCTACTTGAAAATGGCCAAACACTCCCCGATCAAGTGATAGACAGAAGCCTGATGAGAACCTGACTTATTCCTTCAAAGCTAGATTCACCTCTCTACTAGTCAAAGTTGACCGTGAACAACTGAACTGCATGCGTCCAGTCTTTACAGCAGAATCAAGGACGCTGCCTTGTTTACATTAGCCGGAATGAAGGCTGCTAAATGCTGTGAAGAACGTACATGCAAATGAGTGTGCGACATTCATCGACACCCCGTCCAACATCAATCATGATTGGAAATTCAAGCGACCTGGGGCCAACTGGGCAGGTGAGTGTGGAGTATATTAATATTCGGTCATGGTTGGTCTAAGGATCAAGTATGTCAAATTTTGTATGCTGGAGGTTGAGGCATGGCTGGGAATCGAACTTCATGTGTCGGATAATTTCCCTTTTCTGGAAGGGTTACTCCCCTGTTCGCGCCTCTTCTTCACTTCTCACCTAGCTTAATCGACCATTTCTACTGATAAACCCACCATGCATTCCATCATCCAGCAGTTGGACGAACTGTTAATCACGGAAAGACCGCTCGAACAAGGGACCGTGGGTTTCTTGGCCTCAGATCAATCAATACACAATTACCACTAGGAGACATCATAGCATTGCATGTGTTCTACCTACTTACAAGCAAAAGGCTAAAGCTTACATGGACTGAGAAACACCATCCACAAATTCGACGATCAAAACATCTTCATTTCAGTTGCTCGAAACTAGTAAGAGCCACTGTGCTATTCTGCTTTCTTCTAATCTGAGCGGATCAACACTTTAATAGAACCGCTTTCGGGATCTGAAGCTGTCTTAAAAGCTTCCACTCCGGTCGCGAGTGTGAACTCATGTGTCACGAGTGTCTTCAGGTTAACCATCCCGCTCGAGAGAACTCGGATTGCCCGTGGCCACATGTTGACATAACGTTGTTGAAACTCCACCTGGACTTCTTGTGCACTGCAACGCATAAATGGAATCTCCATCTTCTCCTTACCAACACCGATAATGAATACTTTACCTCCGAACTTGACAGACTGGATAGCATTACCGACTGAACTCTCAACACCAGTGCATTCGAGAGCAACAGCAATTTCGACGCCATCTCCCATGGCTTGATGAATCTTCTCTGCAAACTCCTCGGGGGATTGACCTTTCTCCACCAGGTGAGTCCGCACATCAGGCATGATTGTCTTGGCAAACTCCAGACGCTTCGGATCAATGTCTGTTATACCGATTGGCCAGGCCCCGGCTGCTCGGCAGACATCTAAGGTGATAAGGCCAATTGCACCTGCTCCGCAAATGAGGACAGGATCACCGATCTTGACTCCAGACCTTGTGACTGCAGTGAGGGCAACGCTGAGGGGTTCGAGAAGGGCGCCTTCGTCGTATAAAAGATCCCCAATCTTATGGCACCATATCGCTGGGTGATTGACATATCGCCGTAGAAGACCGTGCGAGGGAGGCGAGGATCGGAAAACCAGGTCTTTGCAGCCGTTGTAGCGGCCAGTGAGGCAAGGCTCGCAGACACCGCAGATAATGTGAGGCTCAATAGCGACCCGGTCTCCAACCACCAGATTCTTGACGTCAGGATGGACTGCTATCACGACACCGGCGGATTCATGGCCTAGAATATGAGGCCCAGTCACTTTCCATGGTCCGATACCTCCATGTTTCCAGAAATGAATAATGTAATCCATAAGTAAGCTGATTATATAAGTAAGCTGATTACTTCTATCCAGAAATTAGAACTTCCTCTTTATAATTAAATAACTTTTTACTATAAAATAAATATAATTTTATATAAAGTAAATATTATCCTTATAATCTAAACTCTTAATTAAAATCTAAAATTAAATATTAGAGTAATAATAAAAATCTATTAAGTTTTATATATAATCTTTTATAACTAATATACTAATTATATAGTAAAATATAATACTTAATTAAAATTAATAAATCTATTAAAATCTAAAAAGGAAATTATTATTTTATATATACTTAAGCTATTTATATATATATTTTCTTTTAAAATATATAATATTAAGAAAATAACTAATATTCTACTATATATATATAATATACCTCCTATTAGTATTAATTAGATTTTTAATTTTATTAAATAGTAACTAGAGCTCTATATATACTAGGTTTAGAAATATAATTATTAGAGAGCTAAATATAAAGATCTAAAGATTATTATATCTTAATTTAGTTTTATATATAATCTAAAGATAAAATATAATATTCTAAATAAAGATCTATATAATTTTAATAAAACTAACTTTATAATAGATATTATCTTCTCTAGAATAATAATTATAACTTTAGAGAATTATATAAAAATTAAATTAGTTTAATCTAATAATTAAAAGTAAATAACTATAATTTAAGAGATAAATATAACTAGTTAGACTATCTCTTCTTTTATTATTTTAACTATCTAATATTATTTTAAGAACTAGTATTAGAAATATAATCTACTATATAACTAGTAGTTTATAATAATTAAAAATAATTAAACTATTAATAAAATTAGTTTAAATTAAATTAAGTACTTTAACTTTTATATAGTTTCTTATATAAAGAGAGTATATTAGATATTAATTCTTAATAGCTATAAGAGCTATTATTTAGCTAATTTTAAGATTTACTATTAAGAATAGAAGATTATTATAATCTATATATTTTCTTACTTCTTCTACTTTCTTTAGCTACTAGATATTAATTACTTTAAACTATTTAAATAATTATATAAATAAGAGATTAAAAGTTTAATATAGATATATATTATTTATATTAGTAAATTTAAATTTCTTTCTATTTTTTATATAGTTTTTTTCTATTTCTTTATAGAGAAGAATATTTAAATAGACTTTATTAGATCTAGCTTAATACTATATAATCTAGAGAGAGTTCTTTTAAAACTAGATATAGTATTATAAATACTAATACTATTAGAAATCCTATTTAAAATAAAATAGCTCTAGATTCTAAAAATATTATAAACTATATATAAGATAAATATATAGTTTAAATATATTAAATTTTAAATCTTAGTTTATTAAAATAGCTTTCTAATCTTTATACTAATTATAATAGATTAATTTATAAAAAGAGTAATTATAATAATATACTAGATAGCTCTTTTATATACTAAGATCTATAATCTTTATATAGTAAATAAGATACTAAATAAATACTAAAGAGCTAAAAAAAGCTATATATAGTTTAGAGGGTCTCTAACTATATAGAATAAAATAGATCTATTAGATTAGAAGAATATAAATAAATAGCTAAAAGAGGAAAACTATAGAAATAATAATTAGAAAGAGTAAGCTTATATAAAGACTTTATAATATAGTAATTATAGAAAGTCTAATTATAATATCTAAATCTATAGGGAGATTAAAGAGAAGTCTAATAAATTAATTTCTAATATTATTATTATAGATAATTAGCTATTATTATTTTAATTAACTTTATTATATAAGGGATAGATAGAAGTAATCAGTTTACTTATATAATCAGCTTACTTATAGATTATATTATCAGAACTACGAACAACCTTGAATTAGCATTGAATTTATGTGGAGGTGGAGGTACGAGCAAAAAGAAACCGTCAAACTGTTGCTAGTAGGTTCTTACCCGCAAATACCAGTAGACTTGATCGAAACAGTGACCTCGCCGGGCTTGAGGCTCGACCCGTTTAGGACCTCTTCTAAAGTAGGAGAAGCTGCACTAAGATAGAGCTTTTGTTCGAGATCGATATGAATCCCGACGTTCTCCAATGTCGGAGCGAGATCTGAGGTTTCTGACACCATTTTCTCCTAATGGACCAGATTTCAATATGATCGACTTGGTGTTCAGAACCGAAGATTTGATCCAAGGTATCAGGAAACAGGAAGGGCTGGTAACTATTACTAACCACTGGTAGTAGCCATGACTTTATGATATGCGAAGAATAGCTGGTTTGTTTTCCCCGCAAGATCCTAATTTGCCCCCCGTAAGTGCGGGGAAGGGAAGGAAGCCGTTAGAGTGCCATCACCATGCCATCACAAGTGGTGACAGCATCATCGAGCATCGAGCTAGGTAGCTTGTGGAGTGAAATTATGGAGACGCATAAATTACCAGAAACGGAATCGTAGCCGATGCCTCTGCTAACATATATAATGATACTTAGCTTGGCAAAGTTTAGTTCTCAGTCTTGCTTGTCTAGTTGGAGTTCACACTCAGAATTGATGGTCATGGGATCGATGGCCAGAAAGGCCGAATTGAGCGGCGGAGTCGTGTCGATGGTGAAGAGGGCTTGCTTATTCAAATTCATTCATTGTTAGACTATATTCACAGTAACTGGCCTGAGAGAGACTTACCTAATCTCATGAGATCCTAGTCCTCCCTATACACACATTCCACTTCATCCTCCTATCAATCGCCCTCTCACAACACCACCACCGTTATACCTTTATTAACAACCAAGGCAGAGAAGCTGGCTGATGTGCTCAGACTGCAAAGTTGTGATTGTCACTGGCGCATCTGGGCCCATGGGCATTGGCTTGAAATCTGCCTGACCCTGCGCTGAGTTGGGTGCTGACATCGCCCTTGCATACTTTCCGCGAGAAGAAACCTGTGTCAGGAATGCTACTGAGCTCGCAGAATTATCTGATGTTAATTCCGAGGGCTACCCTACCAGTGTGATGTTCGCAGCTGGAGTTCAATTCAAAAGGCCGTTGAGGATGTGTTCAGCCACTTTAGCCAACTTGACCCTTTTGTCGCCAATGCAGGTCAGGCTGCCTACTCTAGGATCCTTGATGAATCTGTAGAGAGCTGGGAGGAGGTCATTGAGGCTGGTCTTACTGGAAGATTTTATTGCTGAAAGGTCGTCGGGGCTCAATCCAAGACTCGAGGATCTGGATCGTTCATCATCACATTGTCCATTTCGGGACACATCGCCAATATTCCCCAAGAGAAAACCTGCTACATGTCGCTAAGACGGGCTGCATCCAACTTGCCAAATTTCTGGCAAACGGATGGCGGGACTTCGCCCGCGTAAACTCTGTCGCCTAGATCTATTGAAACGGGACTTTCCGACTACATGCCCGCCGAGACGAAGCAAACATGGAGGTAAATGAAACCGATGGGGCGCATTGGGGAGCGAAAGAACTGAAGGCAATCTACGCGCGTCTGACTAGTGATGCTAGTTCCTTCAGGACTGGTTCAGGTATTTCTGTGGGCGCAGGTTACTGTGCATGATAGAGCAATAATCCGGGCTTTTCGTGATCGGGCCACTTCATCAGATCATGGAGCCTGTGCCGCAGATCTTGGTGCTAGCTGAAACCCGGCTTCACAGGGAAATGTTCCCCGTTGGCTGCTTAAATTCCACCCGTGTTGTAGGCTGACTGCTTCTATCTTGGTCCCTTCAATGTAGCATTGGCGTCTGTTTGAGGACCAGGGGTGGTCCCTGTTCGCTGATTCCCCTCTTCTGAATAAAATCGTATGTCTTCCTTTCCCCTCATTCTCTTTTCTACAAGTGCAAGTTAATTGTTGAATGCACCCAGCAAGATGTCAGTCTCCAACCATTTGAGACAAGGAAGAATGCTTCTACACAAGGTTGTGATACTTGGCGACGGTGGTGTTGGCAAGACCGCCATCACTAATCAATTCGTCGTGCAGTATTTCGTCGAAATAGTAGGCTCACCGTTGTGGAATGAGCTCAGAGATGAAAGTCGCTGACCGTTTGCACAGTATGACCCCACTGGCGGTGAGGATTACAGGAAGCAGACTGTCGTAGACGGCACACCGTGCATGGTAGAGGTCCTGGACACAGCTGGTCAGGACGAGTACGTAGCCTTACGAGACCTATGGATCCGGGAAGGGGATGCTTTCCTCCTCGTCTTCAGCATTACATCCAGGAACTCGTTCACAAATGTCAGGAAATATTACCAGCAGATCCAAAACATCAAGAAATCAAAAGTACCACTTATATTGGTGGGAAATAAATGCGATCTATCATCTACTGACCGCGAAGTCTCTAACGAGGAAGCGGAGACACTGGCCAAAGAGTTGAACAGTACCTTCATTGAGACCTCAGCGAAAACCACTCACAACATCGATGAAACCTTTCACAACCTGATTAGATTGCACCGGGAGCATAAGGCAGAGAAAGAGCAGAAGGCTGCGGAGGCAGCAACAGCTGAAGCTCAGACAAAAGGGGCTTCTCAGACTGACAGTAGCGGAGTGAAGAAGACAGGATGGAGGAAACGCCTTTCGGGTTTCATTAAGTCTCTTGATAAGAACAAAGGAGGCTGAAAGATTGGCATAATATGACTTGACTTTGGACATATCTAGAGCAGATTCTGCTCAATCGGAAGTTTAACAAAATTCAGATAGCGAACCTTGATAGGCATTTTATCAAGCAACCTCCGTTCCAAGTACGTCCACCCGGGAATCTCTTTCTCCGAAATAGCCATCAAGTCCCAAAGACAGCCACACGTAAATCGCAAGGTGACCCGGCGGAGCTTGGGTAATGAATTGCTCTGTATCAGAGTTATCGCCTCGCCAAAGTAGGCACCATGGCTACTTGGGATGACAATCTCCTCCAAGTTTGGAGGTAACAGGCCCATGTCCATATTCACCCTTCCATCTCTATCTCCTTGCCCGAACAATTCTCTGAAGCTGACTTCCATCTGACGAAGTGATGGGAAATCATGAAAAGAGCCCAAGACAGTCTCATCCTCAGGGGTACTGAATGCATAGGAGCGCTCACGGTGATGATCTGTCAAAAGAGTAAACTCTTCCAGGTGCTTGCCATACTCCCTCAACACATCTCCAAAGGGGCTACTGCGCCAGGTCCAAGGGGCTTCGTCGCCCCCGTCGAAGTCATCGGGGTCAACGGCTGAGTTGCCATCTGCGCACTTGAGAGACAGACGCCGAAGTTTGGGATACCGCGTTAAGATGTCCTTGAGAGTAACCTCATCCACAATGCAGTCATCAAGGATGAGAGAATACAGATTGGAAGTGTGGCTGGGTCTCGCGGCGGGTTCTACCCAGGCTGAGTGCCAATTCACGTGTGCGAGACGTAGACTGGCCAGATCTGAGCGTAGTAGCGCAGGCTCCACGTAGGAAATGCTGGTGTTCATTGGGCTATACTCCGCGTTGATGGAGATGTGTTTGAGATTCGGCAATCCGTAATTTGCGTAGTCACGAGGCGGGTTTGGTTCGTCTGGTTGCATTGAGCCTGCGAGCTGGTGGGAAATGTGCATATGCCAGTCCAATTCGGTGATGGTGATGTCAACATGCTGAACCGCTGTGGTGAGTGCGAGGATCATGGGTACCCCGTCCACGTCTTCTTGGGAAGAGGGCTTAATGTCAAGCTGGTCCCTGAGGAGAGACGGGATGCCCAGAGATCGAAGCACGTCGGCCAAGAGCTTCGCCTTGTCTGGAAATTGCTGATCCTCGACCGATATGCAGAAGCTAGCCAAGGACAGGCTGCGAACAGCGCGGGCCAGAGAAGGGCACTGATGCAGGGTTCGTAGGAGCTTTATCCCGCGCTGTTTTCGTGTCCGGTCTTCCACCATGAAGACCGTGTGGTGGAGAATTGGCTGAGCAAGGCGGCGAAACTTGCGGCTGACGAGACATAGTGTGCGGAGAGGCCGGTATGGAGAGCATTTCTCCTCGCTATGAGGATCATTCTGGGGGATCAATTGGGAGAATATCCGCGTCCAGATTTCCTCGGGGAACTCCATGTTGTTTTGCTGTCAACCGTGATGTTGTGATAAACTGGCAGACCGTGAATTTGCGAAGGAGCGTTTTAATTTTACTTCAAGCATGATCGGACATTACGTGCATTGATGGCACGTGCTGACGGCTCAAACCCTCCGTGATAGGCCGCTTCGTCTCGAGGGATTATGCGTGGTTACCTTGCACATGATAGCCTTCACGTGCTGAGGCACGTAGTGGTCAAAGTTGGGTAAAACTATTCATGCCCTATCTTCTTTAAATCAGTTGCCACGGTGAGGCATGTATCTGTACTGAATACATACCTTACCTCACACTGTCCCCTGAGTAGATTAGTGCCCTTTAGGCCCTTCCAGTGGGCTTTCTCACTGCCCCATAATGTATGTAGCTAGGGTAGAATAATAACACACATGGGCGAGTGCCCGGTCTGTGTCACTGAATTGAACAAATCATAGATAAATCATCGACTCCCATTTGCGTGAAATCTCACTGTAGGCCATTAATGGGCAGTCTCAGCGAAGTTATAGAGAGTTGTTTGGCTTGTTCAATAGTATAGAACTGAACTGATCTTGACGTTTGCCAAGTGGGATCCATGGTACCGGTTACAATTGATGTATTCCAGTCAGTGAAGATTTTGAGTCCATGATGCCTAGCTATCATCTGCAGCATCAGATTCTGCGGCATCAAGTTTTCTTCGGTCTCGGCAATCCTCAGATGTGAGCTGAATATGCCATTTGATTTAAGAGCAGCCTTCGGCCTTTTCAAATAAAACATTCAACTAATCCGAATAATGACGCTGTAATATCATTGCCGCCGTCAATAGTATCAAGCTTGCGAGAACTTGTTGATATAACTAGGCTAACTACATTATCCAAGAGAGACGCCAGAGATGATTGACCCATCATAATATTTTATGGAAAAAATGTCCTCATACTGGCGCTTTTTAAACCTGTTCCTTCATTTACCACAGCGCCGGACGATTAGGCAGAATCAATCCAGTTCTGGAGACCCCTCTAGAAGGCTTGGAATTCCATTTCGAGCTGGCTAGGCATGCTGGCGATGTGTCATCTCAGCAGCACGCACCGCCCGTCTCATGATATCCTGCTCCTCCTGCCCGCTTGTATCACCAAAAATCTCATCCATCTGCTCAAGAGTCTTACCCATTGTCTCGGGAACCAAAAGCCAAGCCCAGATGCCGGCAAGGCCACAGAATACAGCGAAGAAGACGTAGGCACCAAAACCAATAGCCTCGAGCATTGGTGGAGTGGCAACACCCACGGTGAAGTTGGACAGCCAATTGACACATGTAGCGAGGGCTACACCCTTGGCTCGGGAGCTAGTGGAGAATACCTCGGGGGGAAGAGCCCAGCCGAGGGGCGAGTAAGAGGCTCCGAAGATGAGGATGAAGAGGAAGGCCATGGCGACGCAAGCCCAACCTGCGGAAGGATTGGACTCCCAGTCCTTTGAATACAGACCGGCGAGGACCGCGATGATAACATAGCAACCTGCTGTTCCGAAGCCACCGACAATGGCTAAGGGTCGTCTACCGACTTTATCGATAATAACAAGACATACAGCAACGGCGACAAGCTGAAGAATGTTGAAGATTCCAGAAAGGATCAAAGACATCTCATAAGACTGACCGATGGAGCGGAAAAGGGTTGGGGCGTAGTAGATGAACGCGTTGATCCCAGAAAACTGCTGGAAGAAGCAGACACCGCAACCAACGGCTACGCGCCGCCACTTCTTTCGGTCAAAGAGATCAAGCCACTGAAGGATTTCGAGTTTTAGGCCCTGAACGCCTGGGTGTTTGGCATCCTCCATAAGTCTCTGAAACTCAACCTCAGCAACAATTGACTGGTACTCGCTCCTAACCCTATCATCTGTTTCGGGGAGGCAGCGAAGCTTGCAGAGGCTGGCTAATGCCTCCGTATTCTTGCCTACGAGGGCTAGCCATCGAGGTGAGTAAGGGAAGAAGTGGATACCAAGACCTAGCCCAGTTGCACCAACCATCTGAAGTCCCAAGGGAAGTCGAAAGGATGCTTCGCCGGACATATACCGGGTGCCATATGTGATCCAGTACGAGATCACACAACCGGAAACGATTGAGATTGACTCAAGAACAAGGAGTGTACCTCGTAGGTTGGGCGGCGAGATCTCAGAAATGTAGAGCGGCGCTCCCTGTTTATTCGTGTTAGCGGTGATTAAATTAGACAAACCCCAGCAAACAAAAAGAGAGTGAAGAAGCAGTTGCGTACCATGGCAAGGGTTCCCACGCCAATGCCACCGATGGTTCTACCAACAACTAACATGGTGTAATTGACAGCCGCTGTCTGCAGAATAGCGCCGATGTTGAAGATGACGACAACAAGGGTCAATGCCCATTTTCGGGAAATCTTATCAGCCACGTATGGCATAAAGATGCAACCGATGAAGGCACCAAGGAGAAGCATACCAGTCATGAAGCTAGTACCAAAAGCTGTCTCTGTTTGTGGGAAGACGGCGTGAAACTGGGGCATCACATTGATGATAGAGATGACACCTTGGTCATAGCCGAAGGAGAAGCCTCCGAGGGAAGCGAGGAAGGCGGCTCCGGAGACATAGGGAGAGATGAAAAGCCCACGAACACCTGTCGGTCCGTAGGACACGTCGTCAAGAACGACGGGGTCATGGTCGACGTTATGGATAGAAGAAGCACTGTCCAGATGTTCTGCGTCTGGCTTCTGATCCCCACCAACGATATGCTTCGCCTGGTCTGCCATGGTTGACAAAGGCTGTTAGTTGCCGTTTTGTCTTCAAAAAGGAAAGCAGAATGCAGTGTTGAATAAACTTAGATCCGAACGTGGAAAGAATTGGTTCTGCAGAAGACCAAATCCAAAAAAGCAATCATGGCCGAGAATATATACAGATTCAGATCAAAGAGGATGTTGAATTTAACAAAGTCAAGTCCTGGAGAAAATTGTGCACATGAGTGCTAAGTCAGAGAATCCGGGGTATGGGGTAGTGCATACTACCAAATTAGACAATATTCGCCGTAACCTTGGCTCCACCCCCGTGTCCTGGGGAACACTCATTCATCACCAAGTCATGCCCCGCATGGGGTAGGTATCAGGTGTCTGGGAATGCTTGGAGCAAGCTCTTGGAGAGGCGAAGCGTGGTTTGTGGCCCCACCCCGGCCCAAGGGCTTGTCCTGGACCTGGATTAGCCCTCGGGCAATGATGCCTGTTCTTGGTAGTTCCACGAGACTACGCAGTGGCCCATCCTGTCTTCTGTTAGCTCGGGGCCTAAGATATCCCTACTGACTACATCGTCGAAAATTACCGCCTTTGGTAGTGCCCTTCACTAGAGGAGCAGCAATGTATTCTGCTCACGATGAAGTCGGCGAGTAGAGACTCCCCACTTACCACGATCCGGGTTGTCTTTTAATGAGACAAGTTTGATATCGTTTATATGTCTATATCTTTGTATCTTATAAAAGAAGATTGGGGGACATGAGGTCTAAACAACTAATTTCCATTCAACAAGTCTTAATACATTGACATCAAAAACCTATTTGTGGAGAGTCGAAGTGATTTCAACCCCTTATTGCAATCTCATTGAAGGGATAACCACAAAGTGCTAAGACGAGTGATCCTACAAGCGAAGTTCGTATTCCTGTGTTATGTCTTCTCTCGATTGAGCTTAAGTGCCTGTATGTACTGTGAAGGGATTTATGGCTGAAAGTATCCAAACTAACTTGTAAAGAAGTAGTACTCACGCCGAATTTAGTCTTTTGTATAAGCCCAGACGGTGACGAGAGACGCGAGTCATAGTAAATTTGAAGAGGTCCACCATTTGCTAGAATAGCCTTATGGCACGGTTCTTGAATGTCCTTCTTGCTGTAACGACGTACATCACCGCAGGCAGGGAAAAATATCCCTCCCTAAATCACTCCATCTCCTCAATAAATCCCCTTTCGCTACAGCTTCCCTTCTGTACCTTGTTTTAAACTCCGTTGTAGTTGTTCTCAGAGATCGCACAATATTTACAAGGATTCGTTGAAGAGATGATAATTTCTATATGTCAAACCTTTGTGCCCTCAGGCATCCCCGTAAGAGGCCTACTCTGCTATTATGCAGTTGCCAAGTGTTCACTTCTTGCCTCTGTATAGAGATTAATGCCGCATGACGTTACCAAAGACCCATATTAATATTTAATGGTTTGCTCTACCACGCGGATTCATTTAACTTCCTGCAGTCTTGACCGCCGAATACCCCTGGCCAGGGTGCTGATTGATGTCCGAGAGATGCGCTGGGCAGTCCTTAGCTGCACTGAGCGGGGACAGAAACATCACTTCTTGGTTATGCAATCGATTTGTCAACACCTCTCCTTTTAAATCTACTACTTAAAGACCAGAGCCACTAATACCTCAGATGACCCAGATGATCCAATCACCTTTGCAGGTAGACATCCTTGGAGACATCTGCTGAGCAAGCCCAGTGGCTCACCATGATAGCGGAGGACATCTGAGAGCAAGCATAGCCGAGTTAATGTGTGCCCGGATATTGTGTAAGAAATGGAGTAAAAATTATATATGAGCATTGATTTTGGCTCTAGTTTTCCATACACTGTCATTAGAGTCAATGGAACCTTGCTGGATCCATCCTTCTCGTGGTCGTCCCCTGATTCTTCCTTTGTACCCCTCTCCCTCCTTGGAGCTTTGACCCTCCGTTGAAGCTTTGGTATCCATTTTTGAAGATCAACCTATTAATTCCCATGGGAGTTGTTCTTTAGATCGACAGCTCTCTCTGTCTCTGGAGTTTCCCTAAGAATATGCATCAAGTTCAACTGGAAGTGAAAATTAAAGTAGAAAAATGAACACCACAAGCGTACATCATTTTTGTTATAGGAATCCAAGTATCCGTCCATTATTTCCCTTCTTACAGACTTAGGATCAAATGCCGTTAGAAGAGCCAACTGCTTCCTCCTTGGGCTCTATTCTCCTCGGGGTATAGAGACTGTGCACACTCTTCCTGTGCCTCGATAGCGACTTCGAATTCCCAAGAATATTTGTTTTAGTGTGAGTTGCACATGTTGCTCTAAAACATCTTCGCTGATAATCTTCATTTTCATTCAAAAAGAGAAAGATTTCACAACCTCTGGTAACTTTAGCATTTGGCACTGTCTATAAAAAGCCTAACGTTCATCCCGAAAGCTTAAAGAAGGTTCGCGCCTCAACCATGGCTTTGCAGATGTTAGATATATTTATTTCTCTTGTTGCGATATCATATCGGGCCCTTTCACTCTATGACATGTCACATTTGCCGACTGTAAGCTTTTCGCCATGGTCACACTTAGGAGTCTTAACAGCAGCATAGGGTAAGCAAACACCCTCCGAAAAGCGGACCTGCGGGCTTGTGGTTGGCTGCTGTTGATACCTAAGGCACTGTTTTTTTCTGTGCCAGATCGGTCGGGCCTCTTCCACCGCATCATCATCGTCGTCAAGATGCATCTCCTCGAATTACCAGTCGAGCTACTGCAGGGCATTGTTGAACATCTCGCTGACGAAAGGGACATCAGTTCTCTCAGCCGGACGAGCTGGTCGCTGTTCAGCATGGTCATTTCGCACCTCTATGCTCACAATCATTTCCACCACCATGGCTCGGCTGTGACATGGGCCATCGAAGCCGGGCGGCCAGAAACAATCCGAAGAGCACTCAGCGTGGGCGTTGACCTTGTGCAGCTGCGTCATGTTACGCTCGCGGCGGAGCTTGGCCAAGCGGATCTTCTCAATACCCTGCTGGAGGGCAAATTGAAACACGGCGGCTTTGAGAGCATGGAAACTGATGAGGATGACCGGTGCCCTTTGTATGTCGCAGCGAAAGCCGCGCAGTACGATACTGTCAAGATACTTCTGGACACAGGCAGAATCGGGGTTGAAGCGTGGAGCCGCTACGACAGGACGCCACTACACATTGCAGCGAGCTATGGCAATCCACGGCTGGTCAGACTGCTCTTGGACTACGGGGCTAATCTTATGGCGATGGATAAATTTGGACGCACGCCACTAGGATATGCCTGCGCACCAGACCACTACTTCTCGAGGGCCCGGCAGACGGCAAGCCGAGAAGCTTACGTCGAAACTGTACGAGTTATTGTTGAGTACGGAGCAGATGTTCGCTTCAGAGAAATGAACAACTTCACTCCGTTCCATTCGGCCGTCCGTTATGGTTATTGTGATGTAGTCGAGCTGCTTGCTGCGAATGGCGCGGACGTGAACACTCGAGACCGACGGGGACACACCCCTTTACAAACTGCCAGCCTCGAATGCGGGACACTTGAGATGACGCAATTACTCGTTCGCGCAGGTGCTCATGTCGGCGCGACGAACTTCCATGGCCGCAACTCGCTCTACATGTCACCAAAGACGAGGGAACCGGCACAAGTGGCCGAGTTCCTGTTCGCGCAGGGAGTTGAGATGACCAGAGACCTCGAAGGCAATACCCCGCTTCATTATGCGAAAGTCTCCTCAGACCTGGTCGAGGTCTTTCTTGCGCATGGAGCTGTTATTAATGATTTGAATCTGAGACGAGAGACGCTCCTGCACCTTGCTTCCTCTGACCCAAGTCGAGCTTCACTCGTTGGGATGCTCATCGAGCGTGGCGCAGATATTAACCTGAAGGATATCCAAGGGCAGACACCCCTGTTTCTGGCAGTACGATGCTCCTCGCTAAAAGCGATGGAGGTTCTGCTAGAGCACGGAGCAGACCCCAACTGCCTACCCAATAGTGGGTTGTCTATGATACAGATGGCAATCTCACGGCGCTCCGCGGATCAGACTGATCTCCTTCTACGCTTTGGAGCAGATCTTGGAAAATTCAATGAGCAGGGAAGAAGCGCCATGCATTATTGCGCGTTGTTCGGACACCTCAAGCTGATGGAGATAATGATCCAGCATGGAGCCTCGACTAACGAGCCTGACGAACATGGGCGCACACCCCTCATGGAGGCTGTGGTGGGACATTCAATAAAGGCAGTAGATTTTCTCCTGAACCACGGAGCAAATGTTCATGCTGTTGATGAGGACGGACAAACCGCACTGCACCTACTCACAGCGGTCCACGGCGCCAAGTGGTCTGACATTATCCAGCTTCTCGTTCGCCATGGCGCCGACATGGAGGCTTTGGACAACGAAGACCGGAGCCCTCTGTCTATCCTTAGGTCTGGAGTGGATGATGTAGTAGTGGAGTTATTCTACCATCGCAACCCAAATCATGACGATTCTTTCGACCTATGAAGATGACTACAGACCAATGCTCAAGCACCATTCCGTTCCGGATTTGCTTATTCCCTACAGCCTCTGTGATTAGCTAGGTTAGATTAACGCATCTCTCACGAATTGAAAAAGGGACCAGCGAGGCTGGTGAGGACAGATCAATACGAGGGTCAGATTGCCTCATCAAATGCCGGAAATTCCTCAGGTGGGCAGCCCGAGCGTTTCTTGCCTTCAACAACCCAAAGCTCCCACGACATTGGCTATAAAAATTTGTTCTGGTGCGGTAGCAGAGATGATGCCAAGGGCGACCGCGATTTGGTTTGGGCCTCTATCTGCCAGCTCTGGGCTGAAAACCAGCCACCGCTCTAGCCAAGAGCACAGCACAGTCCTGACTTGTCCGTGCCGGGACAGGTACACTTGCAAGTTGCGGTGACTCGTCAGCGTGAGAAGCGGTATGGCCCCGCAGTAGGTGGGATGACTTGGCTGTCGTCGTGGACCATCTCACAGATACGCATGAATTTGTTCGGTGTAGTGGCTTGGCTACTTACTCTGGAATAGAACCTCGGAGTGGATGAAAATGTGTCAGATGAAGTCCTTGTAGCTGTCGCTCATGAAGTTGCTATCACAGTGATATACTTGGAAGTTGCCAAGTTCATGTTTGTGCGTGGCTTCAAGGCATGGCAAGGCATGAAGGCTAAAGGGGATAGGCTCTGTCTCACCGTTCTGTTTTCTGTTTTACGTTTACTTAGCAAGCAATGTAATTTCTTCTTTGCCATTGAGATTTATCGTCAGCCCTACTGTGTCTCGGTGCTATTAATAAAGTTGTTGATCTCTAGCCCCATCAGTTGACCAGGTTATTATTATTTGACTTTGACAGGGAATGAGCTCAGTCATAAGCACACTAGCGTCTTAACACTCGGAAACTTTCATGAACTCGGAGACATACTTGCCATTTATGAGCTAAACCCATCAGGGTTCTCCCATGTAATCCTCCTTAACTCATGCTTCTTTAGGTTCATCGGTCTCTATCCTTAGTCCGCAACAACCGGTCGGTGGTTATAAAGTCCTAACACGCAGTGATAAAAACTTCCCACCATCTTGATAACTTATCACTTCTCCCACCACTCGATATCAAAATGTCCGAATTAAAGACGACGGCGGTTGAGCACTTCGAGGCTCTTGCCGCCAACTATGAAGCGAGCACTGGCGGCGCCACACGCATGGTTGCCGTCCATCTCGTATCTCTTGTTACCCCTTCCCTGGGCGATCCCTCTGCCGTCATCCTCGATAACGCATATGGCTCAGGCGTTATCGCCGATGATAATCCTGAAGAAATACCCCGCTGCCACCATCCACGCCGTTGACGGCATCGCAAAGCAGAACCTCAGGGATAAAGCCACCTCCGCCCCCGTCGAGTTCGGCGTGATGCCCGGCGAGAAGCTGGAGTTCCCCGACGGCAAATTCTCCCACAGCTTCACCAACATGGGCATCATGTTTTTCACCAACCCCGCCCAAGGCGCTGCCGAGATCTACCGCACGCTCCGCCCTGGCGGCACAGCTGTCGTCACATCCTGGTCGAAGCTGGGCCATCTTGACTTGGTGTTTAGGCCGGCTCACGTGGCCGTGCGTCCAGACGACGAGCCCGTAAAGTTCCCATTGCCAGAGGTGTGGCATGACCCAGAGCACGTGCGCAAGGTTCTCTCTGAGGCCGGCTTCAAAGACGATGCGATTGAGGTGTCGACTTTACCGGTGCAGTATGGCGCCAAGAAGAAGGAGATGCTGTTGGATTTTATGATGGATATGGCTGGGAAAATGTTGACAGCGGACTGGCCGGAGGCCGACAAAGACGCCTTTAGGAAGGCGGTAGCGGAGAAACTTGAGCTGGAGGCGAAAGAGTACACGATGCTGAGTGGCGAGCCTGGATTCGGGCTGCCGATGGAGGCTATTGTGGTGGTTTGCCGGAAGTAAAACCTGTTTATTGAGTTTCCATAGTTTTGAAGCTAGGTGAGTGCGTGATGGAGGCATGCTGTCCCGTTACAAGTCTTGCATTCTAGATGATGTGTAGCTCTTTGAAAGGATGAAATAAGAATCATGAATTAACCTATACTCGGAAGTAATAATCTAAAATCTGGAGACTGGCCTTCTCTGCGGTCACCATTGTCTTCTCGCAGCTACCCATCTATACCTATTTAGCGAAAAGGTTTTGGTCCTCACACACCAGTCTCTTCCAATATCCTAATAAGTCTCCCCACGGAGCATGAAACATACAGCATGTAGATTAGTTAAATTTATTTCTACCATTTCTATTTACTACCGTGAGCTAGGCATTTCACTCTGCGATCATCATGTTGATATTCGATTTTCCACTCTCGCATTGCGCCTGGCTCGTCAATTCAATATCGTGGAAGGTTAGATGGCCGATATCTACATTCAAGACACATACACGGATACGAGAGAACCGAAAGTTTGCAGATACGGATATTCAGATATTAAGATCAGAAAGAGTGACATGAAGTCGGCGATAGAGAGAGGGAATAATCCCAAAGTCTTTCGTGCCCGGATACGAGAAGCAATGACATAGCGTTGCAACGCCAACCCTGATGGTAGGATGCACCAGGCCCAAAGGCTTACGGATGGATGTAAAACACCACAGGAACCAACAGATAGCGCCCTGAAACGGTTGGCTATTCCTCACAGCTCGCTCGGAAGGAAGAATGAATTTGGGTGGTTGATCCCTCCTCTGTGGCCCAAATTGGTGTTCCGCTGCAAAAAGATTTGACATGGGTGGTCGTCAGCACATCGACAAAGTGTGGCTCTCTTGCCGTCACTTATGCTGAGTCAGTCTCGTTAATTATTCGCCTACTGAACCTGATACCATCCATGTTGTTGCTTGGCGAACAGCGGCTAAGGTGACCTCCTGCTCCTAGACCGGCTGACATCATTATCAAGGTCGCATGAGATTAGGTTATAGAGAAAATGGCTGCCTGGGAGCATTTCGTTTCCCCTCATTCCGGCCAAGGCCTAGGATTTGGGGCAATCTTGTGAAAATTTCCCTATCGGTTCGTCTTTACAAAGAGTAAATTTACGTACATGCCCTGCTGAATACACTACCTAGACTGTTGATTGTATCATTGTAAAATAGATAGATGCTAAAAGAAAGTCGTGATATTTCATTGATCCGGACCCGCCATATCACCCCATTGAACCTAAATATCGCTTGAATTTCCTCCCATTGACCCATGCGTCATATAGACTCACATTTATTGCTGGCCAGACCGTTTAGATCGTCAAATCATTTGCTTGCTCCCAAAAATCCGAATAAATAAATAACGAAGGAAAAAATATGTATTATAAGAATAATAACAAAGAAGGTGGTTGCATTGGATGAGGTAGAAAATAAAAACTCTGAGCGGTGGCATCAACACGGCGGAGAGTGCCTCAAGATGAACGTGAGGTGTTTGAAATCTTGCCTATCAAGTGAGGTTTTTCACTCGTCTTGCGATAAAGCTTGTGTAGGGTCGGAGGTGCTGAATAGCCAATAAGCAGGGTTGATGATCGCATTTGCGGGTGAAGACCTCAAGTTTCCCTTTGGGATGGGGGTTATATGAGTCGGATAAGCATGCGAAATGGGAATACCATCCCCGTCATTTAGTGGCACCCCATTGAACAGATCTCTACCCTCGCGAGCGAGGGAGGGATAGCCTGGCGGTAGAGGAGGGGAATCGTGCCGCGAGGCTGGAAGGCTTTGGAAGTAAATTTGGCAAGCATCGGTGAGAGTCCTCGTGACAAAAGAACTGCTTATTCCTAGCTCATTGCTAGGAAGAGAGGGCAAGGAGGCATGGAATACTGCCTCTACGTAAGGTGATAGTAGGGAAACAACTTCCTCGATATTGTTAGGTTGAATATAGGGGGACTGAGGCACGGTGTAACCAGGGAACAAGCGACGCCAGATAGCAAACCACTGAGCTTCGCTACTCCCCCCTCGAATCAGGCGGACAACTTGTATCTCCTCAGGAGAGAGTCCTTCTGGCCTTAGCTCGTACTGGCCCTCGCCTCGGCAAGGGTGGTGAATTCTGGATTGTTCATCCATGAACGAGATCCAGCACGCTGGGCAAAAATAGGGTGGAAGCGAGTGTCGTCGAATAAGGTGTTGTTTGATGTCTGATATCCTGGGAAACCGGTGTTTTTTGCATTCGTCGTATATCTGAGGGTTGAATTTGTAAAAAGGACAGGCAAAAGAAGGCGATGAAGGTAATGCATGAGTTTCGTCCGCTGCATCAAGAGTGACCATGGTAGTCGACGCAATTGAATAGGGGGGAGAGTCTGACCGAGTACTGTTAGCACTAAGAAACATTCAAACCCGGACATTTTTTTGAGATTTATATCGTTGGAGAGAAAGAGATTTACCAACTAAATTTGGAGCTGAGAAGTGGCTCAATGGTCTGGCCTGTCGACGTGTTGATCTAGGAGATTTGTTGGTGACGATGGAACCCATGGCAGATGTGGAAGCAGGTAGAGGAGAATAATTGTGCGACTTTGACACAGGAAAGAAATACTGGCGCAAAGGGGACTTGTTGGCTCATCCTTTGGACATGAATCGCTCAGTCAACCAGGGGCAAACGCTGTACTTAAATAGTTCTAATACTGATGGAGTTGGCACAGATGCCGTATTCGCCTAGATCGGGGGTTACCTAGTATGCCGCGGGACATCCCGTGGGTGTAATCGTCACAGAGCCACGCTGAAAGCAAAAGACCAGGATAATGGGTAGTATTAACTGTACCCTTGCCTCCCTCACCGACGGAGGGCGGTGCGAGCATGTGCAAGGGGCGGTCCCGCTGGGGCGGCTGGTGACGCGAGGCAGCCGGCACAGGGCGAACTAGAGCGAACCAAAGCGAGCCATCATCGATCAAATGAGAGCTTGCTTGAGTTGCATTCTGGAAGAACAGAAATGTCAAGGTACCCCGCTACTCTGACAGCTTGGACGGGGGACATGGTTATGTTACAGGGGCTGCTGGGAGACATGGTTATGGTACAGGGCCCAGCAGCCCCTCAAAATACCTCGCTCAACTCGCACAAACGCGGGAAAGACAGCGATCAAAGGACACTGGCTGCGCCTCTAGGATGGGGTAGCTCAAGTATGCACCTAATACCATGGCAAATTGGGCCTAAATTATCACAAGAAGGTGCTTCGGGACTTGTCCTAGGTCCACCGTGTGACCTCCGGGTTCACTCCTGAAGTCTCTGGACTCTGGCGACCGCGCGGCGGCTTACCTGTCTCTGGAGTGTGCCCTCGAAGAGTCACCGGCGCCGAGACCTACGTCAGACGTCACTCAGATGCGTTGGTAACATAGAACTTTGGTCTTTAAGGCTACTAATTTGGGCAACTTGAGGGGTTCTGCCTACGTTGGGCCGCTTTTCACGGTGTCCTGTTGTAAGATCATTTCTGTCAAACCATCTCTGACAAATCATCTCTGTCAAATCATCTCTGTCAAATCATCTCTGTCAAATCATCTCTGTCAAATCATCTCTGTCAAATCATCTCTGACAAATCATCTCTGTTAAATCATCTCCTCAAGGTCATTTCTGTACGATCACCCCTGTGAGATCATTTCTGTCGAATCATTTTTGTCAAATGATCTCTGTAAAATGATCCCTGTAAAATAATATTTGTAAAATAATCTCTGTAAAATAATTTTTGCTACCAGATCTTTCGGTCCGTACTTCTGTAGCGGCGTTCTTCATCTCGTTGCACACATGCGTGGACAAATTTAGAAAGCCTTGGTCCGCTGTAGCTATCTATGTTTTGAGAGTTGCATTTCTCGCCACTGCCCGTAGCATCACGCATTCGAGGTCTGGGGCACACTAATCAATAAGGCACTTTGCCTCCTAGGCAACTTAAAATCTATTCATGGCTCTTTGTGGCGATTATCATCCGGTCGGTAGACAGGTCGAACACTGGGGCACAGAGGCAGACTGTGATTCTATTTCAATTTACGCGGCGCGGCATGACATCTGGCATTCCCGCCCGCCGCGTTCGCTGTTTGGGATGGGCGTGTGTAAAAAAGTCGGAGCTGGGGTCAGGCAGGCTTACACGCCATGCATTGGTCATTGAATACTTGGGTGGCAGGCATTTGCTCGGTAGGCCAGCAAAGATTCAGCTTCCACCGGGGCTCAGGGAGAGAGCTTAGGCAGGCCGGGAATCAGCTGAATCCAAGGATACTGCTCCAAGTCCGTGGGGTGCCAAGCAGGGATCAGACAGACCCTCTAGCATCGCGGGCGTGCTCTCTTGGCCAAAGAACATCATTTGGTATCCATCATATCTCCATACACATAGTTCATGAACCCATGCCAGCCTTGCTTGCTTGCATCGGGCGTCCATCGTGATTCGTAACCCTTCCTGTTCCACTTAATGCCACCCCGAACAGAGGATGACACGGGCTACGTGCGACGTCAACCATTGGCTTCCACGTGGACTGATTTTTGCCGGTAAGAAATGCGCCGATTAGGGATTAATAAGCGCTACAGGAGGCCCCGATTCAGCTCCATGCCGAAGCCGGGCTAAATGTTCTCTTCTTGGATACACTAATCGATCTGTATTCGACGCAATAATTTAGGACCTCGCAACTCCGTACCTACCTGGCCGCTATTGTCAAAAATATAATAAAACGAAATCTCAGCAGCCCGAGTCTTACCTCACAGCTATGGCTTTCATCTTGGTGCCAGGAGCTCGCAACCCAGCTGTCTCGCAATGACTACAGAAGACGCTCTACTAACATCATGTAAATATTCCTTCATGTTTCCAAAATCCGGTAGGTGGGCTACTCTTCGAATTATGACTCATCTGTCGACTTTTCCTTAAGTTACTACGGATGCATGCTAGGTTGACAGAAGCACAAACGGGCGATTCTGGCCTAAGTTGGCTCTTTGTATTGTGTGAATGAATGTGAGCCATATGGATCAAATTTCTCGAAAATCAGACTGAGAACTGATTATTCGACCCGAGGGTGAGGCTGTATGAGATGGCACAATTGTGTCAGAGCTTCACGAATGATCAGGAGGTCCTCGTACTGGTTAAGTTAAAGGCCAGCAGGCAATCATTTACTGGTTACAGCGTCAATGGACAAACCATCGCAATACTCCACCATCCATTAGTGAGGGTCTCTGTGCTGTCATTGGGGAGCTACTGATACTCGTATACACTTGGCGGCCCCTGAGGGACGAAAAAGGTTCTCTTGAAAAGGTTAGATCGGTGTTAAGTTATCATCGCCTCTAAGGCATGAACCATCGGAATCTACGTGGGAATGGTTTATGAAGCAAGGTCGAAAGTCCATTAGGCTTTGGACAGGCCATCGATCAATTCCCCTCACGAATGCCTGGAGTAATTGACCAAGTTTCCCCAGTGAAAATCAACCCCCCTTCTTGTCTCATCTGTTCAGGGTCCAGATACACTCTCATCCCAATGTTGTTACTATCAAGCCAGAAGACACGGAGTATCATGTAAACTTCAGAACGATCCTCGATGTTGTGAATATTTTTCATCTTGTCGAGGTCAGTCATAATTGCGCACTGGATGGAGTTTGCCTGGAGAATAACTCACAAGTTGGTATTGGTTCTTGCTCATGTAAAAGGGAGTGGCAAGCGGTCCGGTGCTAGTCTTGACCTCAAGGAGGTACTTAGGACGAGCGGCTCGCCACTCCTCACCGAGATAACCGTTGTCAATCAGTAGGGTAGTGAACTCTCCTTGTACGTCTGGGTATACGATATCGGCCGTTTCTCGCTGATACCACGGTCTCATATCATGGTAGTCTGGATGTCCAGTGACATATTTCCTGATGGTACTCTGCCAGTTGCCACGGCTCCACCCTGGGAGCTGAAGAGCGGAGAGAAGCTCAAAAACCTACACTTGTAGTTAGTAACTGAGGATTTCTATCTTTTCATAGCATCAGACTTACATAAAGTTCCCCGGCGGCTCCGACCATCTTATCTCTCTCAAGTTGGCTAGTGGACCGGAACCTTGTAGCCACGTCCAAGCCATCAAATGATTCGTACAAGCTCCCAACATTGGGCAGCTCATTAATCAGCCCAGTCATGTCAAAGGCTCCCAGGGAGGGAAAGACGGCATTTCGAGACGCTGCTATGACACGATGCAGAAGCCTCAAGTATCCAGCGTCTTGGGCCTGTGACGTCCCTTGTGGAGTTGGTTGATCTTGGTTCCAAACTGACGCACGTGCATTGCGGCTTTCTTCACGGGAAACTGCCTGAATTCTCTCGACAATAAGGTGATTATCACCATCACTTGTTGTTCTAGGCTCGGAAGAGCCACGGAGGTTGGCCCTTGGAGAGAGAGCACCCTCTCTGATAGGAGTAGCGCCATATAAGTCAGTCGTGTCTGTCCTAAAGGATCTCGACGGTGTAAATTGAATTGAAGATGCGTCAGAATACTCTTCATCGAGAGCGCTGTCGTCACCGTCGCTTTCTTCGTCATATTGAGGGTCTCGATTCTCTATCCCCACCTCAAAGACGCTATTGTGATTCAGGATGTCGTCAACAATAGCCAGATCGCAGGACAAGATCGTTCTGAGAATGTGGATCCCATCTTTGTCTTCTTTGTCAGATATGTTTGAATCCCACTCCCTCATGAGCCAGTCGGCCAACTTGTTCGGAAGGACAGAACTGAAGGAGAGGTTCCGCTGCTTCTTGTTTAGCGGCACAGCAATTTTGAGTTTCTTCTGTGAATCATCAATATGGCACAATCCTGCAGTCTCCTCAAGTTCAATCGACTTTCCATCTTGAGATATTGAGATAACAGAAGAGATACCATCAGATTCAATGACCTCGGCGTCGCGGAGGACTTTATAGAGAGACTCAGGGTCATCTTTATCATACTTGGGGCTCTGAAAAGTTTTGGCAAGACTGTTTTTTACGTCAACATTGGCCAATACAGCTAAGAAATTATGGGAACCTACCGTAAAATCGCGTACGCTTTGCGACTAATGTCATACTTGTCTTCTGTGATAGGTCGCCTCGTTGCTGAGGAAGAAACCCTCGTAAACTCTCTGACAGATTGAGAAAGATACCTTTCGTCTAATTTCACCCAGCAAATAAAAGGCTTGAGTCGTCGAATGTCTTCAAAATCGTAGTCGAGCAGGTTAATATGGGATTGTAAGCGACCACAGAGCTGTCGATCATCACCAACAGCAAATACTGCGTCGATGTTTCTTAGAGCTAAGCCTCCTTCAGGATATTTGACAGGGAAAATAGCTTCTCTTAGCAACGGAACTGGGTCAATGTGCGTTCGGTCGGTCTGTAGGAGCGCATTGAGTGACCAAATGTCGTTTTTGATGTCATCGATGGATTTCTGTCCTCCGGCATGCCGAAGCTCATCGTACATCATCTGAAGTGTGAGGGACTGAACACCCAAAGTGCCCGTGAAAAACGTCTCTAGGCTGTCGTAGTCGTCATTTAGTGTGACCTTTCCACGTATCTCCGATGTGCTTGACCACAAACAATCGGACGAACTGTACCAACCAGCAACTCCGTGTCTGGCGACATAAATAAGTCGACTCCCTATGAAAGTCCTCCTATTGTCTGTGCTTTAGCGGCAGTCTATTAATGTTAGGTGTAGAGGTCTTGAACATACTTCATTTCGGCCTTTGGCGCATTGGAACGGGCCATGAATTGATAGAGCCCTTTGACCCGATCAAAATCGACCTGCTCCCCAAGATTCTCAAGTTTCTTTCTTTCCCATCCAAGTTCCTCAACAATGTCCTTCCATGAGACGTCTTGAATACCCAAAGTATCGCGGAAAAACATGGTCAGTTTTTGCATTTGACCAGCATCTAGGAATTGCCTATATCGCTGGGCGACACAGGATACGGATTCCAGGTCTGGGGGGCCTTCCCATCGGATATCGTCGCCATCACCCACAAACTCCTCATCGACAAATTTTCCGGATGCAGTCTGATACTTTGGTGATAGTATCAGACAATCTTCGAACATGCAGCTCCTTTGATATCATTATTATTGGTGACTTAGATATGCGAAGCAAAGCTGGGATATACTGACCTAACTTCTGCCAATGCCGTTGCTCGGTTGTCCGCGATGGTGATTTTTGCTTCAAGTGTCTGATAAATTTCGAAAATACCGCACACCATCTCTGTCCCTTTCTCTGACCGTGACAACAGAAATAAAATCTCAAGGTAGAACCCGATATTGTCGTCTTTCACAACGTTGAAATCTCTGTGGAGAAACGCCCACTTTCCTTCGACATCCTTGGTTTCAAAGCCATCAATCCGAAGAAACGGAAAGGATACACTACTGCCATGAGTATATTTGGCGACAATGTTCTTTAGATGCGGGTCTGGAAGCCAGGGCTGATCAGGGATTAGGGTCCGGTGTGACGGTGCCCCTGCCTCGCAATGGTCGCCGTTCCACAGTCCCTGGATTAGTTCTTTAATATTTTTGTTTTCCCTCACTGCAGTACTCTGATTCTTCCAAAGAAACTCTAGGGTATCGATGAACCTGTCTGGGCGATGCTTAGCAATATACTCGAAAGGATCTGAGAGCTTGTCTACTCCATTTGTAACTGGTAGACGCCTCTGTATACCCACGAAGGTATATAGCCAATCTTCCCACGAAAGCAGACTTGACCCATTCGCTGGCGGATTTTCAAAATAAGAAGAATGTAGGTAAGTCACGGGGTGGCCTGGCGCAGTTTTTGTCGGTTCCAATAACCGCTTCGGCCCGTAAGGATGGTCATTTGCAATATAGACATAGAATCTCCTTGGGTCTATTAGCCGTCTGTCTTCTGTATAAATGAGGAGGTTGTCGACTTTTGAGCGCTTGTTGCCATCATGATGAGTGAGGTACAAGTAGTGAAGGTGGGAGATAGACTGCTCCAGGGTGATGGTCTGTCCACTTGTGTTGTAGCGCACTTCAATCGAGTTTTGAATCTGCGAAACCTCTGCCTCAACAACGCCAATGTGCTTGAATAACTTCTCACGGTCCGGGTTAACAAGGGCTCTCGGATCAACTAGCCTGTACCCCAAATCCAACGGTATGGGAATGGAATGAGTTATAGGGAGATACACCTGGCCGCTACTAAGAGAAGTCCAGTTGCCATTCTTCAATGGGATAAGAGGTAATGTTCTTATAGATGCAGCACCTGTCTTGAAGTCAGGGTGAATGGCCCATTTTGCCAGTGGAATGGCAGCACGTGAATGCCACGACTGGCTCCTAGAGAAATCCTTCATTCTGGAGTTTGATGAGTCGAGATCATACTTCACTAAGTTGAGAATCATAGCCATGGTCTCCAATCTCAGTCCATAGTTGTGTAGTATCGATATATCGTTTCGTTCGTACATTTTAGATATATAAGGATCAGTGCTGGTATCGTCGTACAAACAGTTACCATTTTCATCGCTGGAATCACTACTTTGTTGGTAAACCTCAGTTATAAAACGAGGCTGCATTCGATGTCGTGACCGCATTATAGGGGTATTTAAGATCCGAAATTCGATCTTCTCGTTGAGACTTGACCAAAAGCTATTGCTGCTGTCTCCTGTTGCCGGTAGAAATCGCGGCCATTGATAGCATAAAGTAGGATCGTGCAAGAATTGTAGCACTGCTTTCACAAACGCAGAAGCAATTCCATCTTGGAGGCTCATGTTCCTCCTTGATGAGGTGACAATGTCCTGTCGATTGGCGCTGGTATCGAAATCGGATTGGATGATGAACTAGGCAGGTGGGAGACGTGTGTTAGCTTTGAATGTGAATTTAGAACAGCGAAAGGTCTCAGTACCTTGTATTCCAACTCCCTAACAGGAAGAAAGGCAAACAAATCTTGCTTCTCTAGTAACGGTTCAGACTTTTCGGTGAGCGGGAATGCTAAGACTATCTCAGCAGTGGCTGATAATCGTCGGGCCTCGTCCGTTGTGGGAGGATCTCGGTTGTCGCTTCTGGCAATGTTTGTTGCTGTATGCTTCGTGATGTGATAGTATCGCAGCTCTCTGATGTGCTGTCCCTTGGTTTCGGACACAGTCTCCAGAGAAACTCTGTTTTCACCAGCGTCCGCGGCCTTGAAGCTCTTCGAGTCTTTGAGACTACCATCATCGTTATAAAATGACACGCTGATATTCTTGATCTTCTTCAAAAAAAGTAGACAAGTCTTTTGCAATTCCTCGAATTGCTTGAAGATGATTGACTTCAAATGCTGAAGCTCCCCAGGCTCCCATTTCTCGTGGATGTGGAGAGTCATGCGGGTAAATGGAAGAGGGCCATCCTCCTCTGGCTCTTTCCAAATAGGCCTTATCATTCCCAGACCTGAATCTCCTTTCTCATGACGAAAATAAAAAGAGAAGTGTCGGGATTGTATGTAAACCTTCCAGGCGGCAATAAAGACCGACTTGAAACCGATGCCTTTAGCGCCGATATAGCCATGAGATCCTGCTTTGCTGCTTTGACCAACAGAGCAAATTGCGCCCAGATCTTTTTCATTGAACCCATCCTCGTTGCATTCAACAATGATGCGATCTGGGTGGACCTGGAAGGATATGTACGGGGTATCCCCATTCCTCGTAGCCCTTTCGAAAGAGTTGTCATCGGCGTTCTGGAGCAGCTCAAATACAAAGCGAGCACCACTTCCATATATGTGCTTGGCAAGACTGTGAATATCAGTCAGTATATTTGGTGGAGGGTGGTAGAGGTTGAATGAATACGAACGTCTGGACGGAATGCCCTGCTACTGACTCTAAAATCGCCCAGTTCCGCTCAAGCTTGCGACGACTTTCGGTATCAAGTTGGCTGAGAATATCGTCCGAGAGATAGCCGTATCGGCTAGTATTTCTCTCAACCATCTCTCTCGCCTCCTTTCTGCTGGCCATCTTGACAGGTGAAGGAGCAATTATGTTCAGAATTGGTGTTTAAAAATCAAGATCAAAGGGGGGAACCCGAAACCTGCGAGTATCAAATATGATTTGGATGGAATGTGTACTGAGATATGTCAGAGTTTGGAACAAAGTGGAACAGAGGAAATTAAAAGGGTAAAGTAAGTGAAAGTTGACTTGATGGGTGATAAGTTCCAGTGTATACTGGGCGAACCTTGAATACGGCTGAGGCCACTGCGTACATGTTATGCAGTTGGTTGCTAGCCTTGTTCCAACTGGCTATATTGAGAGCGGGCGAATGCAAAGCCAGCGCCAGTAGTTTCAGGTCCCGCTTAGCGCCTTCTATACGGCTATGAATCAACAAGTTGTGTAGGGTACTTCGGTAGATGAGGGTGGGTGGTGATTCGCAGCCAAGCACCAGACGCTGTGGGACCTTTGAGGCGCGGCTGAAATACGGGCGCTTATTGCGGGAACGGTGAACCGCTCCTGACTAGAAATACCTAAGTCAGGCGAAGGGTATTTCTCAGTTTGGGTTTAACTGCATATCTGGCTTGGCCTGATTGGCTGTATTTTAAGCACATTTGGCCGGGCGGCCACAAACTCGCCCCGTCCCTAGTCTGAGCGTTTATCATCCCTGGCGGAGAGGAGAGAGAAGAGAAGAGAGGGATTTACGGTTGTGCTCGACCTGCGGTGCAAATTTGAGCAACGAGTGGAATGATATGGAGGGCATTGTGATTGGCTGTCAAAATTGGCTTGTTTGATTGGTAGTGATCAAGTGTTTGGGATGAGACGGCAAATGACATTGCACTTCAATAATGACCAGGCGCTTTGTTTTTCATGGTAGTGTGCGTATTCGAAGATGCAAAGCCATATGGTGGGCATAACATTACTATCAGATTCAACTTTATTGGTATCTTGATTACATTATCACGACTAAATTCAAGTGTAATTGCTAAAGCTGAGTCAAAACGGGTTCCGCGGCCTTGCACTCAAAAAGTAATACTAGAATGAGGGAAGGGGGGAAACGGGCTTGTCGGCATCATCAATCTCGGATCCTTCTCTCATTTTCTGCCGTCTTTCATCCACCCACTGTGTCCATTTCTCCAGGAACGATTTCATCTTCTCGTTGGAGTCCGGTATCTCCTTTCTCCAACGGGCTTCCTCCTTCCTTAGACGAGCCTCGAGTTCAAACACTCTGAACTCTTTCCCATTCACTGCCACAGTGACTCTATCTATCACTTGCTCGTAGAGGATTAGGCCCCTCTCCACCATATTGATGTCAAAGGACAGAATTCTGTCCAGATAGCCAGATAAATATATTGCCAGACGCTCTTCGATCGGTAGCGAGGCATTGTCGTGGATTGGAAACCTTTCTAGTTCCTTCTTTGTCGCCTCATAACGCCTATCGTCGACCAGTATGCTCTTGTGGCCCGATCCACCACTAGGTGCCACGACATCAATGATGACTTCGTTGACAACATATCGTGAAGATGTTGTGGGCCGGCTGTGTTCAGAAGGGCTGGGACGTAGAAGGCCGGGTCCGTAGTCGAGAAATTTCGCAAGTATCCAGTAGAATGACCAGTGTAGGACAGTCGAGGATCGATGTTCACCATCCACTATAACTCTGTGGCGATACATGTTCTCCAATATATCAGGAGGGTCAAATGTTCTGACTGTAGCGTAAAGAGAGCCCGTGTACCGTGTCTGGGGCAGAGCGGCGATGGACCAGGTAGGCCAAGCCCCAGACTCTTTGACGTACATGACGTCGACGTGACAGTCTGTAGACAAGCTAGGGAGGAGTCCCTTGACTTCATTGTGAATCTGCCTATTGACTAGGAGGAGAGTGAGAGCAGGATTGGTTGGCACGAGATACCAAACTCCAACATAAGTGCACTTGCCATCCGCCTCAGTATCTTGCAGTATCTTTCGGTCTGCTCGGTTTTCTAAGGGACCCGAGGGAGGCATATTCAGGGAGCAAATAACCCAGCGGAAGACCACCAGTCTGATCTCCAGAGGTATTTCCAGTAAGAAGGACATCGTGCGACTAGGTTTGGTAATATTGTTCTTGATTACGCGTTTATTGTATTGCAAAGATGAGGATGATGAGGGGTTTAGATTGCTTAAGGAGATCATTGGCGTGGAACGCTGAGTCAGATATCAGTTGGCGCTTGGGATGCAGGCGTTTTTTTCTTTTTCCTGTTGCTCAGGCAATTGATAGGTGCATTTAATTAAGATGTGTCATGAGCTAGGGATTTTTGAAACCTCCATGTTCTTCCCTGCCTCATTTGATACTTCAGCTGATCAAGATGTTTACCCTTGTTTGTTTTTGGGCAAACACTGGAAACCACCGTGAGATGGATACCGAGTCCCACAGCTATGACCAGTTCATCCCAGACATATGTATAGTCACTATTTGAACGAAAAGCAAGGCGAGTGTCTGGGCGGCCCAACCCGCCTATATTAGCTTGTTGGGTCGACTTCCGCGGAGCCCGAGGTGAGTTCCGGTTTAGCCTTCTGTTTGTGGTCATAACTTCCGCGACTTATCTCCACAGTAGCCGTCCAAAAAAGCCGCAGATTCATAATACCTTCAATTATAATGAAGGCATCTACTTCTCTGAGCTTACTGCCCCAGAGCTTTGGACGAGATGCAGCCATCCGGCCATCTTCCTTGGCCCATTGTGGTGGCATAACCTCCATGTTCACGGCACAGAAATTCCAACACGAAAGTTTTGCTTGGACGGAACTTGTCAAGAGCGCGAGGTGCCCTGGGAATTCCATGCTCTTTGTGCAGCGTGGTGGCATAGCAGATTATTCAACAGCATTATATTCGGCTTTGACAGTGAAAATAAATCCTAGGAATTGGAGCCGAGCACGGGGAGCGTCCAAAGCATCATTTCTTGAAGCTATTTAGTCACCTTGCCGTGTGTACACTCGCATATCTAACACAGATACCTGCATGTGACTTGCATTATGGAAGAAAAACTAATACACATTCGTTAGGCGACCTGCTTCTATCCAATTAGCATTTTTCTTCATCTAGTTTTCCATTAAGTCTTAATCGGGATGTTCGCAGCGCTTTGTAATGGCAGAGCTCGCGAGCCTTATATCGGGCCATCGGCTCTTGCCGGTCTCATAACTCTTGGCTTTAAACTGATAGGTTAGATGCTGAACATTGCTGGCGATTTAACCACCGTGGTTGTTGATTGAAGGTGATGATTTTGGTTCTCCATCAATTACAGAACAGCCTCAAGAAACTTGAAGCATATTATTAAGCAGCTATTCAAACAATACAAGAGACAACCACCCAACGCCCAAGTAAAAATTGAAGACAGCGTCGAATGTATTGCGCTGTAGTTGAAGAAGCCTGATCCCTTTCTTAGCCTGAGCTGGATGAGGCGCGTGAAGTGGTTCTTTGCCAAGATGAGCTCAAGACGACAGGCAGCGAAAGCCCGACAATACGCCGAGCGTTCAGCTCAGTAACAAACAGAAGAAGATAGAGGAACAGAGGAACAAAGACAGTTAGTAGTTAACAGAGCATAAAAATCAAGGACCAAGGAAGAGTATGACGCTAGGATGGAGGCTGAGAGGATGCATAGGGTTGACGAAATTCTTTAGTTGATTCTGCCATGATCAGCCACCCATGCAAGAGCTGTTCATAAGGTTGTGCTAGGCATGTTTCATCTTCAGTATCTTTAGCCAGCATGATGGTGAGACTAATCAGACTTGTCCTGTCATCTACTGGACTACCTCATCCCCGAACATTGGGCTAGTAGGGATTTGGTGCCAAGCGGCCTATTTCTCCCTGGAGGTCAAGCTACTCAGGATTTCTGGGCAGAACCCTGTCCCTGGGAGTTTTCGAGCCAATCACCCCTTGGAACGGCACCGTCTATGAGATCCACGATGGTGGGATTACCAGGTCATGTCTTATCCCCGTCCCATGAACTACTCAATTGGGTAAACAATGTCAACCTCCCATGCTGGCTCTGGGTCGTTGGATCCGGAATGGCACCGCCAACTTTTGAAGACAAAGTATCAGACGGATCCGATGTATCTCCAAGGCAAAATGGAGTATAAATACAGACCAGACGAAGGCTGACAATGTTCGCTGCTCCGACCAACTCACGCCTTCCTTATCATCTACGCAATTACGCAGTTCTCCAAAGCCAACAATATGATCCCACACCTCCTAGCAGCAACCGCGGTGCTAGGCACCTTTGCAGTGGCCTCCCTACAGACCAAAAGCCTCACCACACGCGATGGCAGTACTTATTTCTACGACTATATCCCTGCCAGTGGTGAGGCCAACAACACCACAGTACTCCTCCTCCACGGCTACCCTTCCAGTCGTCACGACTGGCGCCACCAGGTTTCCGAGCTGTCTGCAGCTGGTTATGGCGTCCTCGCTCCTGACTGTCTGGGCTACGGTGACAGCGATATGCCACTCGAAGTCGAAGCATACAATTTGAAACGGCTGGGTGGGCACTTAATGGAAATACTCGACAATGAGACTCTGCAGACCGTCGTTGGCGTGGGCCACGACTGGGGCACAAACCTTCTGTCGAGAACATACGTGTGGCATCCTGACCGGTTTGAGAAGCTAGCCTTTCTGTCGCTAGGGTATAGTGCACCGGGAGTCTTCGCAGATATCGACCTGTTGAATGCCATGAGCCTGAGCCAGCTAGGGTACATGCAATTTGGTTATTTCTACTTTTTCAACTCGTACAACGGCGCAGATCTTGCCGCCTCCAAGGTAAGCGGTAATAAGACCCATATCTGACATCCTATCTTCCATCCCTTGCTTCGACAGGGATGCTGATATCTCGTGCAGCTTGACTCCTTCTTTAGCCTCGCTTTTCCGACCGACAACTCCAAATGGGCAGAGAATCTTGCAGGACTCGGCACAGCCCGTGCCTGGCTAGAGGCTAACACCACAACACCTCTTGCTAGCTATTTAACCGAGCAAGATAAGGAAGCCTGGATGAAGGCTTATAGTCGCAAGGGCGCAGTCCAGGCGTCCATGAATTACTACAAGGCTCTGCTTCGTGGTGTTCAGGCCAAGGACGAATCGTGTTTGACGGACAAGCACCGCACGATTAAGGTGCCAGTGCTTACAATTGGTGGCACGCAGGATACAGTGACTAGGGCAGATCAGATTCGGGCCCAGACTGAGCCCTGGGCGGCTGCAGGCTACACAGAGAAGGCCGTTGATGCAGGGCACTGGATGATGCATGAGGATCGGGAAGGTGTGAGCTCTGCGCTGTTGGAATTCTTGAAGGCTTAGCCCAGCTGGGACAAAGGAGAGAATGAGGCTCTGGTGACTTTTTGTATTTTGAAGGTTCTGTTATAGACTATTTGAGGATAGACGCAATGCGCTGTGTAACCTCCTGTAAAAACTCCCTTTGACCACTCTGGAGTTTCGTACGGGTGAGGGAAAGCAACCTTTTAGATAGCCCCTCTGCGAACCAAGCGTCGTCTAACTTCTCCAGAATGATACAGTAGCAGGCCAGCAAAATCATAGAACGAGGCCTCTCTTTCTTGACTTCATTAACGAAGGCTAGTGAGAGAGTCAAAGGCCATAACCGAATTGCGTCCCAGATTGTCAGCGCAGACCCAAACTTTTGAGCTGCATTGATCGCAAGCGCCAAGTCACTTGCAGCTTGGACATAAACGTTTTGGATTTGATCAGATATTTGGCATCCATCAAAGCAATAGTGATCCAGAGCGGATAGTAAAATGGTAGCTATCCGGGATGACCGTTCATCCTCCATCATGATGGGTATGTCCCACGACGCAGCGAGAGAGGCTAGCGTGCCGTTACCAATCGTGTCCCAGAAGCCGCACACGAGGTGACAGCCATGCCGTACATAGTGTAGCCAAGGCGATAAATAAGCAAGATCAGGTCGGCTGGCATCTGCGAGAAACAGGTCCTCAACCCCAGAAGACGAATCCTTTCCATAATTTGAAAAGTAGAGCAGCGTATTAGCATGTATAAAAGCAATAATGCCGTGACATTCTAGTGCTGAAGACGGCTTTGCATCGATCGTGGTCTGAAATGCTGCCATCGCCTTGTCATGATGCTCAGAAGCCGTTCCCATTAATCGTTGGCGATCAGTGCTCTGACCTTGCTCCGTGTTGAGAAGGTGCTGAGCCGAGAGGGCGAGGATGCCATGGCGCAGGAAAGAGTTCGACGTTGCGATGCGAGGGACAGATATCTGCCATAAACGGACGTTGCCGTGCCTATTTGCAAGAGAGAGATGTGTTGATTGTAGATAATGAGCGAGAAGACTCGTGTCAAATTCTGTCATGTCCGCATGAGATGCCCAGGCATCATATATAGCTCGAATCTGGTCATCCACACTCTCCTGAAAAAGATTGTTACCTTCAAAAAACTTGGCAATATTTGAATTCTGGGGCATCATACATACAGTAGATGTGTCTGGTAATTTCACGACTGACAATGCCGGGTGAGTGAAGTACCGCAGTAGATTCCCTCGAAAGAAAGTCTGGAGAGGCACCGACTGCCAGTCTAACGCTGCACAACCAGACATGTGGTGCTCCGCTTTCCAGTGGCTCTGCATCCGTTTGACGCTCACGCAAAGATGTCCACAGCTGGGATCCAGACACTGGAGGCCGCTGATGACTGGTAATCCGGGCACAGGAAAGTCCTCGCCCTCACCGAGAATAATACTTATACCAAGGAGCTCTGAGGGCTGTTTCAATGATAGCCTGGCGGCATAGTCTGTGTAAGGTTGCCGACGATGCCGGTGAAGAGCATGAATTTCCTTCAGATGTCGGTCAAGGGCAGTCGGCTGGATTGCGTACTGGCAGGATGTGCATATGATTATTTGATACTTTTTATTGTAGTAAAGAAGTTCCTGTGGCTGTATATTGATGTCTGATTCCATCTTGGACTTCGTGCTTGGTCCAGGGCGCGAGTTTTGCTCGGCATTCTGAAAAGGAGAGATCAGGTCTAGATACTATTTGAGTTCCAGGCCCCTTTACATTTATATTACCCTGTAGCCTAACCCCCCCCCTAGTCTAGGAGAGCTAAGAGTTACCACTCCCGTGCTTAAACGGAGACTCAATCCGCAACCATCAGATAGAGAAATAAACCAAAACTAAAGTTAAGAAACGCAGCATTGCACTGACAAGACTGCAATGTGATATAACAAGAGTCCGTCTTCTGAACATTGAGTCCCGACGTCAACAGTGTTAATGCTTGCTTTCAAGAATCTACACAAGAGACTTACAACTTACTTCATCTCCTTCTCTGATGGAGGTATTCAGATGGAATTTAAGACCAGATAATTAATTGGGTGAAACTAAAAATAAACCGTGATATATATTGGCTCGTACGAAGAGCGAGCTGTGCATTTTGTTCTGATGGAACTACTTGATCTAGCAATAGGGTAGGCGGGGAGAATTGTGATTTAGCCACGTTGGATATTCATTTTGGTACCTAGGTTAAGGTAATTTAAGACGACTCCTGATGTACCGCCCGTTCAAAAACCATCGTATTTTGGAATTATGCGGTAATTCCCATCTCAGTCTCAATTTCCTCTTGACTCTGGCACCACTTGTTCTGGAGCGCTTCATCAAGCGAGAGCGCATAAACATCCTTTGGCCACCATTCGCCCCAGCTGGTAAGGAAAATCTGCTGAGGATCTTCTGGGACGTCGTTTCGGGTGAAGGCTTCCAAGATGCTTTTCGCGCCTAATGTGCGATGATTAGCCATAAACACGCTCAATGAAATGTCGCGGAGCAAAGCAACCTACCCTCCGGAACGGATTTGGCATCCTTCATTATAGCATCTGGGAATGAAAGCTTGGATCCCCTCTGCAGCCCAGTAGTTGGAATGAGGCCTGGAGAGACCGCCACGACATCGCACTGGCCAGCCAGCTGCCTTCGCCACCAATGTGCGGCGAGAAGTGCAACGAACTTGGACTGCGGGTAGCTGGTCATGCTATCCTTGCCGGACCCTGCCAGCAGGTCTTGATCTAGGACGCTTGGATCAGGGACATTGCGCACTGCTCCAGACGAGACGAAGACCAGGCGGGCCTTGGACGCGGCAAGCTTTTCTCGAAGTAAATGTACTAGATAGTGCTGAGCTTTGTGGAGGGAATTTAGTTAGCTTATAATAAGCAGAACTGATACAAGGTATACTAACAAGTATGATTGACAATCAGGATTTCGGACCATTTCGACCCATGCGGCCCGGGACCCTGGGCAGGGTCACTGATTGCGGCGTTCAACAGCAAGTAGTCGATGCGATTCTCCCCTATCTTTCCGAGGGCCTGACGCGCAAATGATTTGACATCTTTGAGATTATTGAGTTCAAGCGGGAGCACGCTCAACGAATGTTTGCTTCGGTCAAACGAGAGCGAGCTGTAAGCATTTTCCGTGGCTTCGATATTCCTGGCACCGAGGATCACCTTGTAAGGCTGCGCCTGTTGGAGAAGTTGCTTGATAGCCTCAAACCCCTGCGTAACGCGTCAGGCCTTAATCGCGACGAGGTTGAAGACTCCATCACTCGTAGAGCCCTTGCAGATGTGTAAACTTACCAATCCCGACGATACGCCAGTCGCAATAACCGTCTTAGCAATGGTTGACATTGTACAGGTGTAGTGGTTTTTGAGCTGGAATAAACGAAGAAGAAACTTTCTTTAGAGTTATATCATCGACTGGCCTAGGTTTTGTAAAAGCTCGATTTGTCATGAATCATCAGGAATGGAACTTTACTCAGTAGCGGGCGGGGTTAAAAGCTGGAGATAAACATTATCTCATAAATCTTACACGGACTTATCATTAGCAGCATTTGAATTTGTCAGCGTTAGCTAGGCCAATTGCATACCTTATCTCAATCTCAATACAGGATGCCGGTCTGGTTTTATTATTTCATTGAGACTAAAATTTGATAAATTATAGGCAGGATTTAATAATAACACCTTTGTATATTCTATATCGCAGCTAGGAGAGGTATTGCTGAAGTATCTCATGACCAAAGTAATCATGCATGCCGTGCGAACCCTTCGGTTTGAGGTATATCCCAATGTTGGTCCTTTATCTCATACATTCATAAACGAGTTTATGAGCTCTTCTACGGAGTCTCTCGGCTCGCTTAATGAGATTTTCAGCTCGTCTAAGTCTTCCTGTATGACGTTCTTGATATCTGCCAAAGATTTGCCGCTTGGCCAGGCTCGTATATCGTTCTCAATCGCGCGATAAAATGCATAGTCACCTGGGTTTGGGTTCTCCTTTTTTCTCTGACTCAACTGGGCGAGATGGATGCAAGCTGTGGTGGTATCGGGGCTTTCCATGGGTAGAGAGTTGAGGGCGTGCTGTAGGAGAGAGATGTCTTTCTCCTTATTCGCACATTCGATGGCTTGGTGAAGTTGTGCAAATGCTGCTACTTCCTCCGTACTAGGTTGTCGCTCGAGTGCCCCAAGCTTCCATGGCTCTGAGTAGGTGGCGTTGATCAGACAGTCCAGCGGAGTTTCATCGTAGCAGTTAGTATGCTTCATGTTGAGTTCAGACAAGTCCTGGGTCATGAGATATTCCAATATCTCCAAACCCGACTTTCCAGCAGCACAGTGCATCGCGTTATTTGAGCAAACGTCCCGAACGGTCGTGGAAGCTCCATTTTCCATCAAACATCGAAGCATTGGCAAGTTGTTCAGGTTTACAGCCCTTAGAAGAGTGGAATAGCCTTGAGGATCTTGGACATCGATGCTCAGCTCGCCGAGCTCGAGAATAGAGCGAAAGACCTCTCGAGCGTCTTGTTCTGGGCACGGGGCCCTTGCGAGATGATGTAGAATCGTTGAGCCGTCTAGGCCACGGGATGAAACCGTTGCTCCATGTTCGATTAACAAGCGGACGCCCTCGGGAGTGGTCACGGCGTAATTTATCGCAGTGTAACCGAGATTGCTTCTTTGATTGACGTCGTTTCGTTTACCGCCGCCTGGCTCCAACAGGGCTCGCATGCATTCGACCTGCCCGTTCAATGCGTCAAACATCAGAGGTGTCATCCCATCCATGTCGTCTTTGATGTTGATGTTGGCGCCCGCTCTCAGAGCTTGAACAGGCCTCTCGATTGCCAAGGAGTGATGCGTGGTGCAGGGCTGAGCATCCTGTTTTATCCAACTCATCAATAATCTTGATGGAAGCACTCCCCAGCTTGTCCAACACCAGCTGCATCTCCAAGGCATCCCCGTCAATCGCGGCTTCATGGAAACGCGTGGCTTCTGGTTCTGTTTCCTCATCCCACACGTATGAAGCCACTTTCTCAAGCATTCCCGCTTTTCGACAATTTTGTTCCCCAGACTGTATCATCGCCATTTGTGCACATCGCACAGCATATCCGACTTGCCTATTGGCTTTGGGGTCAGTCTCTCATCGAAAGAATAGTGTCCACTTAGAGTATGGATCGTACCGAGGAAAACCTGTTCGAGATAACACGCCCTCCCATTCTGTGGGTTGACAGGGTGTTGAATACAGCTGTATTGAATAGCAAGAAGCAAACGATTGATTGATTAAAGCAAGATGATGATATCTAAGGAAGAAAGGCTATCTGTTCAATCCGACGGAAGGTTTAACTATAGCTACTGCGGCTTATCAATAAATCAATAAGCCGATTAGACCTATATCTATACAGGTAACTTTTTATTTTTCCTTTCAAATAGAAGGAAATATTAGTTTAGTAACTAAATAACTATAGATAATTATAAAAGCAGATATTTATTAAGCAGATAATTATAAACTTATAAACCTATATATAGATAAATATATCTATCCTAAAAATCTATCTTTTATTAATTTTATATAATCTATCCCTTCTTTTATATAATAATCGAATTATTATTAATAAAGTATCTTAATAACTAGTTAGGTTTAACCTTAGTAAAGTAATTAGTAGGATTATCTTCTCTATTAATCTAATAGATTTCTATTAGTTCTTAATATTTATATAACTAATAGAGGGCTATAATATTAATTATTAGTCTTTTCTCCTTTATAATTCTAAGTTTAATAAGATATTTATAGAAGGAGTATAAATTAGTATAAATAATAGATAGAATATTTAGAAGTAAGAGTCTATTAGTAATTATATATAGGGTTATTAAGATTATATATATAATATTAACTCTAGCTACTATACTATAGACTTCTAAAGCTAAGATACTTTATATTATATATTTATACTTTATTAAACTAAAGTATATAATATTACTAATTAGTTAGAAAGATAAGTTATTATTAATATTATTATAGTATTTATTTACTAATATAATAATAAATCCGAGTTATAATATTAAGTTAGTATTATTTATAAATAATCTATTAATAAAGATAAATAGTTTAATAGTTTATAGATTAAGGGGAATAAAATTTAACCCTTAGTTAAGATTTTCTATCTACTATTTAATCCTTTAGTTAAGTAATTTAACCTATATCTTTATTAGTTATTAGTACTAAGTAGTAGTAAAGAGATTAAAATAAGCTTCTGATTAATAGATAGATATAATATATACCCCTCGGGTATATTACTTAATATATTACTATTTAATAGTTTATTTATTATTATTATAGTTAATTAATTATAACTTCTTTCCTTATTTCTTTTATATTAATTAAATAATACTATTATAATTAAGCTTAATAACTCTACTATTAAAGATAATTAGTATATCAGTTATTAAGTATTATTTCAGTTTAATAGTAAACCGAGCTTTAATAAGTTATTTCTCCTCTTAGTTATTAAAGGTTCTATCTAATAAGCTAATTATATTATCAGTCTATATTCTAATAATACTAAATATAGTATTTTATATTATAACTATAGTAATTAATAAATATAGATTATATATTAATAACTCTATCTGGAGTTTCTTTCTATAGTATTTATTATATATATTCTACTAATATATTCTAGTCTTAGTAATATTATATAATAGTTTCTTAATTACTATTATAGTATTTAATAGATATATATATTAGATTTAATAGAGTAGTTTTATAAGAATTATTCAGTTTAATCCAGTAGTTAATTAGATATAAGCCTATATAATATTATATAACTATAGAGATATCCTATCTTATAGTAGTAATAGTATAAGACTTAAAATCAGATATTAGCTTATATATTAAATTATCAGAGCCTGGGTTAGAATAAACTATTTACTATTATCAGTATATCCTTAGATAACTAGTCTTAATTTCTTATACAGTTTATCTATTTCTTTATCTTTAACTTTATTAACTATCCGGGAACTAAAAATACAGATTCTAGTATATTACTTAGTATTATATAGGATAATTTTAAAAATATCTTATTCTATTAATATATTAATTTCCTTTTAGTTAGACTTCTTAAATAGTTTTCTAGATATATAAATCTTCCCTTTCTTTTAGAAGAATATTATAAGTTTAAGATTAAGCTTTTCCTTTATAGATAGGAAAATATCTTCTTTATCTATTAGGAAATACAGACTATTAGAATACTTATTACTCTTATTAGACTTATTAAACTAATTATTAATTTTAATTATAAAAGTAGTTTATTTATATTTATAATAATATCTTAGTTATCTACTTTATTATTCCTATAGTATATTAACTATAATTATATCTAATATAATTAGTATATTATTTTAATAGGTAGTTAGGTTTTTAGTTTTATAGTTAGTCTAACCTTTAACCTCCTGGTTAAACTTAACTAACAGTATATTATCCTAATCTCTATTAATTCTATTAGATATTAGGTTATTTATATAGAATAGTTTAATAATAGTTAATTAAAAAGCTCAGGGTCCTTATAGTATTTAGATAATATACTTTTTATTTTTAATTAATAGTAGTTTAAATAGTCCTTATTATAATTTAGAAATTTCTCTCTATATATAAATATCTGATTATAGTAGTAAATCTAAAGTTTATATAGTATCTAGCCTGTTCTATATTACTAATACTTTATTAACTAACTTTCTAATCTTATAATATCAGACCTCTTCTATAGTCTTTTATAATATATCAGCTTATTTAATTATTAATAGGGAGAGTATATAGTTATTAATTACTTAAGGATATATACTAAATATAAGTAATATTAATATAAGTTTATTAGAACTAATAGTATTATTAATAGCTTTAATAGCTATCTATAATATAGTATCCGGTCTAATAGATAGATCTTCTAACTAAATAATTTTATATACTTATCTAATTAGTAAATAGTATCTTTTAATCTTACTAATACTATTATATACTTTAATTAATACCTCTTTAACTGAAATTACTATTATTTATACCTCTTAGTAGAACTCAGCTATCTAAAAACTCTTTCTAATATTAGTTACTATCTAATCCGATAGTCCCTAATAAATATTAATCTAATAAAGATAAAGGGTTAACTAGATAGTTTAAATAGATATATCTATTAGAAAATAAATAGTATTAAATAAAGTTACTATATTAATAATATATAAAACCAGTTTATTACTTTCTAGATATATTATATTAACTATAATTTTATAGTTAAATTTATAGTTATTATATAGTTTAAACTTAAAATAGTAAGGTTAATTAGTATATAATTAATAGTACTTATATATCTTCTTAATTCCTATAAGTATCTATTTATTAACTTTATAACTAGCTTATTCTAAGACTTATCTTAATTATATAATTAATAGATAACTAAATTATTTATAAATATAATATAGTTCTACCTCGATCAGAAGGTAGGCAGCTACTTTATTATTATCTAAAAGTATCTATAGATAACCCTATTTATATATAATAGATATAGTAATATCTCCTTACTAGAGTATATCTATCAGGTTATTATATCGAATACCTATTTAATCTATATCTTAAAGGTAGATAAGGAATAGTATATTAGTTAGAATAATATAAAAATTAATATTACTAATTAGTATCTTAATATTAGTACTTCCTAATATATATATAGTTAATCCAGATCTAAAATAAATAATTAAATCTGATAATATCAGATTAACAGGTTATTAATATTATAGAGCTCTGAATTATTTATAGCTACTGGTTAAAACCTTAGCTACTCTAGTATCTAGGATAAAACTATAAAATATTACTTTATTATATTAGCTACTTATAAAGATATAGCTCTTATCGGATTAATTATTATAAATTTCTAATTATTAATTATAAGAGATTAGTTAGCTATAGTCTTAGTTATACAGATTTTCTTTTATCAGATTATAATAAATAGATTAATCTATTAATATTATTATAAGCTTTAGACTATATTCAGTAAAATACTATATATTACAGTTATTATTATTATACTCTATTTCTTATTAGTATTAGAGAAATATTTCCCTCCCTTTATTAGATATCTTATTAGGAGAATCTTTATACTAAATAAGAAACTAGTAGAATATATTAACTAATTAATTAGAACTAGATATATAGAATAACTCTTTATAATATTAATAGGCAGCTTTCTATTTATTATTAGTATATTTTATTAACTAGTAACTGATCTTACTATAGATATAATACTTCTTAATATATTAATATAATTTATTAAACAGTTTATAGCTATTTACCTTATTATCTATTAGTTTATTATTACTATACTACTATTATTTATTATACTATTAATTTTATCTATTCCCTTAGTAGGTTTAATCTATTAAGTAGTTATTATAGTTATTCTCTTATTAGTACTTATTATCCTAATAATAAGCTTCTTAAATAGTAGGATTTAATATCCTAATAGTAAGATATAGTTTATTTTAAATAGCTTTAAATATACTAGCTAGTTTAAAGATACTTATACTATATTTAGATATATTATAGTAGCAGTTTATTAACTAGTTATATAATATTTTATCTAACTAATAATTATATAGAAGGGCTTATTATAATTTAATAAGTTAGTTAACTAGCTATTTAAGGGATTTAGTCTTTAAATAGAATAGATCTATATTTATTACCTATCTTAATATAATTATATATTACTCCGAAAGATATAGTTAGTACCTTTATTCAGTTTTAAAGTAATCTCTTATCTTATTAACTAGTATATTATAATTATACCCTTAATTATATAATTAATTATAATAGTATTCCTCTACCTAATCTTTTAATATAATATTAAATATACTTATATATTCAGAATACTAAATATCTACCTTTTAGTATTAATTAGTAAAGATAAGAAGTTTTATATCTAATATATTAAGTATATTACTATTATATTTAGTTTTATCTATATATAGTTTCTATAAATCTATTAGTTACTTTATACTAGCTATTAGAAGTAGTAGTTATCTTAGAGAACTATAGTTTTATCTACCTAGTAAAGGAGATATTATTCTACTAGCAGAGGGTAATATCCTATAGTTAAATAGTAATTAAATCAGATTACTATTTACTATATTTAGTATAAACTATAAACTACTTCTCTAGTAATAGTATAATAAATAGTTTATTATACTATTTAGTATACTATAGTTCAGTATACTATAGCTCAGTATACTATAGTTTAGTATACTATAGTTTATAATACTATTTAATATATTATAATTCAGTATACTATTACCCAGAAGGATAGGTTTTAGAAGAATAAGTAGAATAGTTAATTAGATCAGATTAATTATATATTAGCTCCTTAGTATTACAGGATAGGAAGTTAAATAATTAGCAGGATAAGATTAGATATATAGTATACTAGTCTAACTATTCTAATAATTACTATTAGCTACTAATTAGTTAGCTATATTAATAACTGCTTAATATTCAGCTACTTTAATAGTCTTTTATTCTTCTTTAAGGGCTTTAACCTCTAGATCTTTTATTATTTAATTATATATAATTTCTATAAGAAAGTCCTTATTATTCTTTATTAATTTATAGAAATAGGAGTATTTATTACTATTCTCTTTAATCTCTATAGTAGTTTATAGATAAAAGGGATTAGTAAGTACTTATTAAATATTTAATCTAACTTTCTAACTATCTTAGCTAATAAAAATACTATTTACTAGTAATATTTATTAGAATTTATTAGTTAGTAGTTTTCTATAGTTAATAAACTATTTCTTAGTCTATCCCTTAAATATATTAGATATAGCTTTATAGAGTACTTAACTATAGTATCTTTCTTTACCCTATATTATAAATATATATAATAAATAGAATATAAACTATTTAGATATAGCAGTTTCCAGATTAAAGTTATTAATATTCCCCTAGATTAATAGATTAATATATAATTATAAATAGTAGGGAATAGGAAAAACTAATATCTAAGGGAAAGAAGAAGATAATTAACTAGCTATCTAACTATATATCTAAGGCCTTTTATCTATTAGCTCCTTATCTGGTAATATACCGAGCAGTATTATTAATATTTTATTTATTATACTTATATATAATAAACAGTTAAATAGCAGGTAGTTATATATAAATAAACAGTTAAATAAATAGGCTCAGAATTAGTAGTTCTAATAGAAGATAGAGATCAGAATAATAATATTAATAATTTATTATAAGTAAGAGAATAGTTTAACTTTATTATTAGTAATATAATAACAGAAGGAGCTATTATAGTAATAAATAGGAAAGTATTTAATTATATTATTAGTAATCTAATTCCGGGTAGGAATAGCTAATTAAATATAAATAAACAGATAATAGAAGAATAAATAATAGGAAAAATAAGTAGATAAAGAAATAAGTAGATAAATAATAAGTAGATAGTTAGATATATTACTATAGTATTTTAAATACTACTAATATAGATAAATAGTTACTAATTCTCAGGATTAATAGAAGCTTATTCTTCTATAATACTCAGGATTAAACGGATAGATATTTTTAATAGATTTATCTATCCTATAGTAGTATAAATCCCTTTATAAAATATAGTAATCAGCTTCCTACTAATAGAGGAAGTAACTAGTTTATAGGAAGATATCTTATCTATTAATCTGATCTATTATAGTCTCTCCAGACTAATCAGTATAGGTTAATAGGGTATTAAATACAGCTATATTAAATAGTAAGAAGCAAATAATTAATTAATTAAAGCAAGATAATAATATCTAAGGAAGAAAGGCTATCTATTCAATCCGACGGAAGGTTCAACTATAGCTGCTGCAGCTTATCGATAAATCGATAAGCCGATTAGACCTGTATCCACACATTCATTGAGCAGCAATTCCAGAGCATCATACGCCTCCAACTCAATGATGATCTAAGCTCGACGCCAATTTAGTCAGAGACTCTTATGAAATAGAAACGTCATTCCATCGCTTACTGGTACTATAGTAGTCCCGTCCTTTTGTTCATCATCGGGAAAATATGACACCCCATTCTAGCTCATGCTAATTTGTAGGCTATCCTTGCTCCTATCCAAGAGGATCCAGTGAGATGAATCGAACCGCCTTGTGTTTACTGGGCGCATGGCAAATTCTAGAGTATAGAACGACCCCCCCAAGAAGAATTTAGCTGCCAACGAATAATGGGACTGCCCATCATCCACGCACACGCGCTTATTTCGTGAGCATGTACAGCCTGAAACTGGAGAGGAGTTGGACACCGTACCAAACCAACCTCTGACCTCGAATCCGCCAACCAGTGATGAGGCCCACGTCGGACTCCGGATGCGCCAGGGCTGCTTCTGGCAGTGACATCGACAACGACCGGCGTATATCTGTCGCATTTTCGCAACTACGGAGGTGCGAGGCGGGTTCATTAACTGCGTTTCCGTTTCTGTAACGGATGTGGAATTCTCCTCCACTGCCGGCGGTGTTTCGATTTCCTCCCCATTCTCGATCTCGTGGACTCTTCCGGGGGCAGCATCTTCTTTTAGGGTCTGAGCGTTCATGATTGCCAACGCAAAGACATTCAGTGCCAGTCCTAGATTTGCCTTTGCATTTTCGGCTTTCCTGAGAAGGGTCGAGATCCGGGTACGACGACTTAGCCATGCTCGCCGTTTGGCGGCCGGCTCCGCATCTGGCCGCTGTCGCTCACATTTCGTCTGTATGTCTTCTAGGTCGCGGACTGTGTCCTCCAAAGTCTTCCTGATGTTCTCGATACTAGTGGGCCAAGAGGATCTCAAACGAGTGCTGTGACTGCCATTAGAGATAGCCTCTTGAGCCTTCGATAGCTCCGCAGAGATTGCTTTAAGAAAGCCAATCTAATACCGTCTTGTTATCTCTTACCCATAGTCAGCATGGAGAGAAACCGCTCACCTCTTCTCTAAGCTCCTCAAAGCTCTCCGGGATGTTGCGAATGCCTTTGATAAATTTGCCAGCCTTTCCGCCGACCTCCAGAATGGTAACGACGCTCGCTACAGCACCGAGTACCTCCATCGGGCTTGATCCATACCTATGAGATGCTTCACGAAAGCAAAAGGGGGCGTAAAACTTCTGCGATGGGAGGCGCTATCTGGCGTTCAAGGATATGCCTGGGGGGGCATCAGGCATATTTTCACAGTGCTGACCCCCGTGACCAGCTGCTGGGCCTCAAATAGCGAAACAAGGGTCTATTACGAAGGAAATGCGGTTTTATATTGTGGCGGTTCTTCATCCTACATTGCCGGCTATAATAAGCCTTGGTCGTGGGACTGAATCTCAGCCACGACCTCCAATCCCATAAGTCTAGTTATTTTAACGGACAAATCTGACGGGGAGAAAGGAAAGAGAGACAGAAAGAACACAAACGGAAAAAAACAAAATAAATATTAAAGTAATAATAGTTCATACCAGCAGTAAGTTATTTCTTCTCCTCGAGAGGGAAGGTTGTTTTCACCACATCATTGACATGGATGATGGCCTCTCTGGCACCCTCCCAGGCCTTGCGTTTGCCCGTCTCGAAATACCGGTACATATGCGCCGTCTCAACACCATCATTCATCAGTCTATACATCTCGGGGTCCTGCCACCAAAACTTCCAGCCTTTCCAACCCCAGCCCAGGTTTTCCATGCCCGTGCCAGCAGCCTGATGAAGCCAGCCCTGGAACTCCCAGACCTTGACAGCGCTCGTGTCAGTATTCGGCTCGATGCGCCAGCGCCCGGCCACCCATCGCTGGTGCTCGTCGACGTGCTTGTTCATAGCCTCTAGCGATGGAAAGGGTTCGACCCCTCGCCACGCATTGCAGATCGCTAAGCCCGTCACTTCGGCGAAGCTGAATCCGTTGGCCTTGCCAAAGGCACTGTAATTGATGACGGCGAGCGAGTCGGCGTACTTTGGAGGGAACAGGTTCATCCACAGCCGATACATCTCAGGGCCGTGATACCAATCTAAGCCAGGTTTGCTTCGCTCAACAATATCGGGTCCGAGGAGCGAGAAGTCCGCCTGGTAACCTGTGGCCAGGATCACCGCATCTACATCGTCAACCACGGTCCCATCGGCAAATTCGATGCTCTTTGGCCCCGTGAATCGCTTGATCCCCTTTAAAGATGTCAAGCTTCCGTCCTGCAGAAATGGCAGTACCCGCTCCCACACACCCGGCAGCGTCAAGCTGGGCGATGGGAACGGCTCGAACCCCCACGATGGGTCTGGCTTGCCGCCAAGCATCCTCCTGCTTATATACTTGACCCCGATATCGCCACAGACACGCATAAGGTTCGGAAGGTACCTCTGCAACGACATGCCAATGTTACGGCGACGCCAAGTAAGGGGGAGATGTGCGGGCGTGCCGTTAAGGAAACGCCGGACGAAGACGGCACCACGGCGATGTGAGACGTAGACTTTCGAGGCCACAGGCATCAAAGTAGGAATGATGTCGCCTGAAGAGCTACATAGCCCCACGACGACGACATTCTTATCTTTGAACGGCTCGGGACTTAAGATGAAAGTTAGTTTGAAGGAGAATTTCCACGTGTTAAAGGACCTTACTCTCTAAATTGCTGTGCATGTATGATCTTGCCTTCGAAAAGCTCCTGCCCTTCAAATTTTGGGACCTTGGCCGTAGTCTGGTATCCGTTGCATACAGCGACCTTGTCGTACTCGACGGAGGAGGTAGTGCCGTCCTGCTCGAGCTCCAGTACCCAGCGAGTGTCATCAGCATTGCGACGGATTTCCTTCACCGACGTGTTGAATACGCAGTCTTTGAGCCCGTCAAAATTCCGGGCGTAGTCTTCCATGTACTCCTGAAATTCATACACGTTCATGTGATGCGGGTACTCTAGCGGCCTTTTAACACATGCGAACTTGATTCATTCGGGGGGAAAACTCACTGTCTGGCATCGGAAAGTCTGAGAAACCGCACGTATATTTGCTAATATTCGCTTGCGTAGCTAGAAGGGTATTTTGGTCAGTTAAGAAGTTCCATGCCACATATCACACGTTTCGTCAGTGAAACTTGCATTTCAAGGCTGTCGTCCACCCCGTATTTTCTGTATACGCCCAGAGCCCACCGACCTGGCTGCGACGCTCGTACAGCGTAGCAGAAAACCCATCTTCTTTCAAAGTTTTTAGCATTGCAAGGCCCGTAGGACCTAGTTGGAAAATGTTAGATACCGATATTCATTCATCCTCGCGGGACTCGAGGCGCATACCTGCCCCTATGACGGCAACCTTAAACTTGTCCATTGTGCCGCGGACACGGAGCATCGAGTTGGTATTTCGAAAGATGGAATGGGAAAGTTAGTGTCCCACGAACGGAGGCCTCGTCATCTTCATAAGATAAACCTACAATCCAAGCAGGAGCCAGACAACCTTGCTAAGTGCGTTTAGTGCTGACGGGAGGTCCGGCTATTCGGAATATGATGATGTCTCGAAAGGAGGCTAGCACGCTTTGGGCTTCTCCATTCGGTAATGATTTAATGATTTCCCTTTTCCCCTGGAAGGCAGGATATAAATCCTCCACAAACCCAAAGACCCCATCATTCTGCCGTCAAAACCTGTCACGCTACAACTGGGATGTCACCCAGTCAGCACAACGTGTGGAGCGTATAATGACACGCACGCTCCTTTCCTTCAGGTACCTAATCAGAGTTTCGGACCGCACTCAAAGGGGAGACTGCGGTTTCTACTGGGCTGGTAAGATAATTCCACGTCACCTAAACACTAGAGCGGGCCAAATATCAGCCTTTTGTAGAAGGACCTAGAGCAGAATGATCCATCATCCTACCTTAGCCTCAGCAACCTCAAAGAGAAGAACATCAAATGTAGCGTTGAACGTCAGCGGCGATTTAATTGGGTGGAGCGCAACATTGCACAACGAATAGCTTTCTCTTGGCAAGCATTAATTTATAGCTGATTGTCTTACATGGTTAGCAGTTAGAGGGATCAAATAAGATGAACGCTTCACAAATTTCGGTTGGCGCGCAAAAAATGGTCTTCGCAAGTATTGCCAAGCACAGTGCAGGCAGTGCCATTCTATCAATTCAAAATGGTTCATCCAGTGCTCCCAGTGCACGTATCGACAACGTGGCTTTTTCAAAGTTAGTTGGTAAGCATAAATAAGTTCCAAGCCTCTAGTCAACATAGGCCAGACAATGTTATAATAATTGAAACTATGATTAGCGAGACTGATGTGAATCAGAAGACGAGATTTTCTGGGTACTTAGGAGTGGCTTTCTTGGGCCTCCTAGGTCTTGATCCTCTCACATTGGACCCTTGGACCTTTCTAGTAGAAATTATGGCGCATCTCAAAGACAAAGTACTTTGACATTCGTATTGGCACGACCCTACTGCGTAAATATGTATATGCATATTTTCATAGGTTCTGTGTGAAGTCGCATTGTGATCCGCTCACAACGACTAATTATAGGTAAACAACGGTTCGCTGATTTTTCCCTAACTCCCGGGGCTGGCGTGGGTCATAGTGAAAGTTCTAACGACTGTGAGAGGAAAGGATATGGGAAGAGTATCTCCATATTTTAGTTTAGTCGTTCAGTAAGACTAGTGCCTATATGTGCGCTTTAGCTAGAGATTCTCTCTACGCCTGTAATCGGGTTACAGGAGAGATAAAGACACATATTAGACTACTTTCTACAATTAATAGAGAAACTTCGCAATTAAAGAACCGAAAAAAAAAATAGACGCTATATTATCCCTGAAGTATGTGTTATCAGCACTGAGTACCTAGTCTAACAATACTGATTGCAGAGAATAAGCAGCTTGTGTGTAGATTGATGTCAGACTGCCGCTGACACGTGGAGACTCTAATCCCTGCCCACACTTGCAGTCTGATGCTTATTGGAAGAAACACGAAGCCTTCTCATGCGGGGCTTGACCTTTGCAGTCTGGTGCTTATTGGGGAAAATTACGAAGCTCATGCGGGATTTGACCATTCAATCACTCTTCGACAGTCATTAAATCACGCTCCCAAAGGCTAGACTTTTCGACTCGCACCCGGGAGCCTTTGGATGGTCTGTGGCGGAAGACGATCATGCAACCTTCAACATGGTTCATAGGGCTTTTGACTTTTGTCGTCGCCCAGCTACTGCTCCTCTGGGCATTTGGTGCGCGGTTGATGAACCTGCCGAAATTGCAACCCAAGTCGAAACCAAAGCGCATCTTGGCCAGCCCGAAGAAGTTTCAGACCGTTCGAATCTCTAATATCCCTCAATCAGTGACCAAGGTAAAGTTCCGCGAAGCTCTGAACAAGCTGTCGGGGAATCAAGGGAGCCCCCCTTCCAATATCTCTGCTTTCTCGTTCGAGCCCGCTGCAGCGTTTGGACTCGCGGATCGATTTCGCGTAGCATGCGTTACTTTCGTTGCCAGCCCGGACGTTGCAATTTTGGAAAGTACCCTGAAGGGCGAATTTGGCTTCGAAGCAGACCGGTTGAGGACTGATAGCGACTTTTTCGGCATCACACCAATCTACTCCCCACCGGAGAATCCAAGTGTCGAGTAAGCTATCTGCAACGGGTTTCACTTCTTTCGTTTCCTCTTCTGCTTTTTTCTCAAGAACCTGTGGCCAACTTATGCGTAATTCTAAAGTATTATTGCCGTTACCGGCCTCTCCGGGCATGCGTTCGGGTCATGGAAGGCCAGGGGGCAGCCGGCCATGTGGCTGCGAGACTTCCTCCCTGACTCTATCCCAAGGGCACGTATCTTGACATACGGATATGACACAAAGCTTCCCGGGAGCCAGTCCGAGGCTTCAATCACCGATTTATCCCGACGACTGCTCGAATCCATCAAAACTACTCGTGGAGAAAAGGCAGTATGTAGACTGGAAGAATAGCCCTGCCTCACCTACCACAACTAACGCCCAGAAGCGGACCAGGCCTTTGATATTTATTGGACATAGTCTTGGAGGGCTAGTTGTCAAACAGGTCAGGGAGTTCCATCTCGCATAGAGATATATTCTTAATTGAGTTAACATTTCCCTTCTTCTAGGCATTGGTCGAGGCTTTTGAGGGTAGCGACGAAGATAAAACCGTATTCCGGTCTTGCTTCGGTCTGATGTTCTTCGGTGTCCCAAATCGGGGTCTTGAAAACTCTAGCCTAATGGCAATGGTTCGCGGGCAACCTAATGAGTCGCTTGTGAGGGATCTATCTGGATCATCTCGATTTCTAAGCCTTCTCCACCGGCTATTTAACAAAACCTTCACCCTCGAAGACTCAACCATCATTAGCGTATATGAAACCCGGACTACGCGAGCAGTTCAGGTAAGTAATCTCTTCTCACTTCAAAGTATGCAGCATTTTGACTGTTCAATTCAAGTGGTCTTCCGAAAGAGGCTCATGGGATAGGACTGGACCAGGAATTATGATGGTGGAACAGGCGTCTGCCACCCATGCCGGGCCTAGCGAGATGACGTATGATCAAATATCAATCGATGCTGACCATTCCGATATTGTCAAGTTTGACGATCAGTCGAATCCGGATTATATTATTATCGCATCAAGAATCACCCAATTGGTAGAAAAGGGACCAATTATTGTGAAGGCGCGGTTCGCTGAGTATCGCCGGAGTAAGAGCACCAGACCGACCATACCAGTGTTGAAGGGACCTAATTAGTATCATAATACAGAGCTATCTCGGTTAGAGACACAGTTCATCCAATCTCTCAATGTCCCCAACTACGGTGCATTTCGGAACGACATGGTCGACGATCCCACCCCAGGAACTCTGACCTGGATTCTGGACCAAGACTCTTTCTCGAATTGGAGAACTTCTGAAGAATCATCCGTACTTTGGATCAAAGGGTCAGCGGGCCAAGGCAAGACGACACTCTCCAAGTTTCTTTTAACACACATGGAGAAGGAGTCCATCGCGAGCCCAGAAACCAAAGTCATTTTCTACTTCTTTTACGGGCAGAGTGACATACTATCCACAGTTGGCTATGCCGTAAGATCACTTATTAGACAGCTTCTTAGTGTGCGAGATGTCGACACATTTGGGGCCATCGCAGAACTAGTCGAGTTAGATAACACGGCCGACATGTCTGAGGACGGGCTTTGGGAGATCCTCGAACATCTTTTGAAAGCTCCTGTTCTTCAAGAGGTACTCTGTGTCATTGACGGACTAGACGAATGTCAAAATGCTGCATCAAGGCTTCGTCTTATTCGGCTATTCAGTAGGCTTGCCCAGCCAAATCGAGCCAAGGATGACTCACCGGCTGTGAGAACAATCTTTACGAGCCGTCCCACCATTGATATCGAGCAGCAACTGTCGCGATCTCCCAGTTTCCACCTGGTCGCCAATCCCCAAGATTTACAAGTGTTCGTGGATCACGAGATAGGAACACTCGACCTTGATCCCCAGTTGCACAAAGATGCTGTTACAATCCTTTTGACTCGCGCCGAGCAGACATTTTTATGGATATCGTTGATTGTCAAAAAGCTCAAGGCTGAGGCTCTACTATCCTTGGCAGATATTGAGCGAATTATCAAAACAAGTCCCTCCGATCTCGGAAATTTATACCAAGGTATTGTTTCAGACATCCTAGCTAGAAGCGGCGAGAGCCAAAAGAAGCTCCTTCTGTGGGTTGTCTACGGTCGTCGGCCGCTAGCACTCTCGGAACTCGAGGACGCGCTTTCTATTCAGGAGGATTCTGACTCCATTGATTCCATTAGATCCGGTCGAGCCAGACTCACAAAGCATAACGTCTCCCGCGCCGTCGGAATCATCATCGATATCCGTGATCTCGATGACAGACTCTATTTGATCCACCAGTCAGCGCGAGACTTCCTTGTTACCAGTGACATTCTGAGTCCCGCTGCCTTTTGCTGGAATTTGAAGCCAAACTTGTACCTGGCCAAGGCGTGTTTGATTTACTTGAGCTTTGATGATTTCGGCTCCCACAATGGGAGCGACTTTCCGAATACCTTCCTTTTACGATATGCTTCATTAAACTGGCACCGACACATCGGTAATGACTTAGATGGCATGCACAACCTGGCAAGTCTGATTCTTCGTATCACGGAGCCTCGCTCGTCTGCCCTGCTCACTTGGGGTGCCTCTGCAGGTCTCTATGATATCCATAACGCTACTACTCGCTGGGATGTCGCCACTCAGGCAAACATAACCTGGCTTGCCGATTTCGAAACCAGCGGCACCATTATCACCCCAGAAAAAGTTTCCGCTGCTGCAGACAATGGAATGGCGGGCTACAGAACTATTGTCACACTGATACAAAGCCAGCGTGCGCGATTCACAGATGAGGCTGTAGTTTCCGTTGCTCGATATTTCGACTCCGACATGGTCAATCTCTTGCTAGAGAGACAAGACTCGAAGGCTGAAATTAGTGAAGACCTTCTAATCGCAGCCGCACGAAACCGGCAACACGGGGTAGCCATTATTCGCTCACTCATCGAATCAGGCCGGAAGATTCACATTACGAGTGACGTCCTGTCTGTGATTCTAGATGATCGGTCCAACCGAAGAGAAATTGTCGATATTTTTGCGCAGAGTGGCAATGCGACGTTTACTGAGAAGGCAATCGAGCAAATGGTCAAGCTCAGAGACTGGGTCATGATACGCTCATTTTTAGACGAGCGGGAAGATTGCGACACCCCCGATACCATGCTTCAGATCGTGTTAGCTCAGATACAGCCTGCGGAGGAGACCATGATACGACTCATCAATCGAAGCCGTCCAGATATTGAAATATCAGATGCAATCATAACGGAGATGGCGCTGAATGGCGTATCGGCTTTCAGGTGCTTTCTCAACAAGTTCGGCCATGGGATTGTTTGGTCCGAGGACTTTCTTCAACCCTTAGCCCAACTTGGGGATGAAAAACCTCTCGAGGCTCTGCTTAAGACACAGGGTGACGGCATCGTGATTACAGACGCAGTTCTCGAGAGTGCGGTATTGAATAAAAGGACCATTGAGATCGCACGGTTGATTCTAGGAGAACCACACTGGAAGTTAGAAATATCGGAAACACTGGCGGAGCGAGTAGCATCTGCAGGAACCACGGAAATGATGACGTTGCTGCTGGAAATTAGGCACGATGAAATTAAGATCACTGATAAGTTAATCAAATCCGCTTTTTCAAATGATGAGCACGCTGACGCTATGGTGTCTTTGTTATTCGAAAATCATGGATCAGATTTGTTGCTTAGCGAGGAAGTCGTGGAAGATGTGGCTTGGTTGGGGAAGCCTAAGTCCGCGGCATCCCTACTTCATGTGTTTGGAAACAGGTTCAAGGTCACCGACAGGTTACTTCAGGTTGCTGCAGCAGAGCACACGATATTGGGCGAGGAATATAACCACAAAACCAGAGAGTTTACTCGGCCGGCAGGAGATCGGTCCTTGCTAGAGCTTCTTATCCAGAACAGACGGGCCGATGTGGAGGCTGCCATCACGGAAGAAGTATGTTTGGTGGCGGCCTCTGTGAACAACCGCCGTGCCCTCGACCTCCTTTGCGGCGATGATGGGTTCTTCCAACCCAAGAAACAATGGTACAACGTGGCAAAACTCAGGCATGAAGTCATCAACAGACACCCGTGGAGAGTAAGGGACCTACTTCTAGATGATACGCTACCAAACGTCAGGGACTTCAAAAGCGGCATGACGCCTTTATGCTTGGCTGCCTTTCGGGGGTTTTTCGATGTTGTAAATGTCCTTCTGTGGCGGAAGGAGGTGGAAATTGATGTGCAGGACTACAGAGGAAGAACTCCATTGTTTTGGGCCTGTCTCTACGGCTATGATGATGTTGTCACCTTACTGAGGAATGCGGGTGCCGATGATAATCTAAAGGATGATAGGGGTGAGACACCAATAGAAGCCGGGGCTTCTGGATCGGAATACCTTTTAAGAGCCGTCAATAACGCAGAGAATCCGCCAGGGAGAAGCCCTAATGGAGGGAGGACTAGATATCGGGAGAGGGAGACTGGTAGAGGGCGTTTGGCAGAGAGCCACAGCATGACAAACGAGAGAAGTCGGTCTCGAGGTCGAAGAAGACCTCAGTATTGATTATTGATGAATTACCTACATGTACATTTGAAGCGCTCTTGCCCTAGCTGTTGAAAAATCCTTTAGTAGTGATACAAATACGCAGATGTAGCTATACACAATATGCTTCGTTCACCATGCAAGTGTCAATTGATATGGGACATCCACCCCGTTGATGAGAAATGCGCTCCCTCATCTTCAACCAGGTAGGTATTCAAGTACCCCGACTTGCCCGAGCTATCCATCACAATGCTCAGTGCTCCCCACTTCGGGGCTGTGTATGCAAGGGTCACGGGCTGGTTTCAGCCGTGGAGAAATACCGCATGCCACTTGCACGTTTGAATTCAATATTTGCTAATTAGCAGATTCAAGTCTGCCTTGCTGGATGACTTGTCGTTCGATCTTCGTGAATTTACCCGAATAAGCTCCCTAGTCGCAATATGCCATCCAGGAAGCTGCTTCGGGCACCAGCTCATCCGGCCGGTAATGGGTCGAATTCCTACATACCGACCGTCCATATCAGATCAGACTCGGCCGACCCACCGTCCGACCCGAAGTCCGCTCCATGACTGCAGGGGCCGATATTGCACTGCCCGCTTGGATCGTACCGCCTCATCTCTCTATCGCCAGCCAAGGTGAGGTTTAATGAATCCGCGCCAAGAGATCACCTTCAGGCACTGGGCTGTCAGCGAATCCCTGCTACGGTCGGGCACCAGCCAAGACCGCCTGGCGAGTGGCACTGCTGCATCACCGGGGTGCAGGCAAGGGCATCCTTCACCACCGATGCATCATGCAAGCATCCCTGATCTAAAGCGACGGTAGAACCTTCGGTGGCGGGAGGATGTCGGCTTGGCTCGATATAGCCCTCCCATAGGCACAAAAGTTAAGTCACCGAAGTGAACTCATGGTTTTCTTCCTATTTACGGTGGTAGAGGGCACCCGGGATGATAAGGAAAGCCCCACAGAAGAGGGAGAATGAAGTCGTTTAATGACAACTTGTGGTTGATCTCATTTAAGAGATTAGATGACTACAGCCCTACAAATCAAGGCGAGATAAGGTTATCCTGGTTCGCAACACCGCACTAAGCTTGGTTGCGAAGAGAGAGCGTACCCTATACCTGAAAGCATACTTTGCGAAATGTATTATGCCTATACAATATCTCACTGTAATTTCGTTGTACCGTCTACTAAAAGATTTTCCATTAGCCGCTAGAGCAAGAAGAGTGCGGTTGGAAACCAAACTTTCCACAACAGTCCATGTGTTGAGACATAAGACCGCCGACTATCTGATCTTTGAAGGGAGCATCATCTCCACACCCAAAACCACCCCTGATGATTTACTTATACGACGTATGATTACATAAAGCAAATAGCATGTCAAAAGATTGCACATTGACTTAGAAATTACAAAGTATCCAAAGACTCGTTATATATACAACGCCGCTACTAAAATCGAGACCGAATGCGCACAACTATAGCCCAGCCCGTCTTACTCTCCCATAGTCCCATCTCGTTCTCCCGTCGAAACGTCGTCTCCTCCGCCCGCGCCGTCATTATAGGGATGCCTTCATCTATTGGAACGGCCCGCGAGGTCGATCCGGCCGAGGGTGGATGCCGCGGCGGCCAAACTCGCGACGGGTCGGAGAAGCTCTGCAGAAATGCACGAACCATATTAGTGCTGTCCTTTCGCGGAGGCGGACGGCTCGAGGCAGACTTTGCAGGATTTGCGACCGGAGGCTGCAGCTCGTTGGCGAGACGCTCTGCCATGTATTCGTCCGACCACCAAAGCGCAGACCCTCCCGCATCATCGTCGGTGGGGTCATCGTCGAATCTTCCCCAGTCTGCGAATCCCGTGCCCTTGCCTCTCGATCGGTCTGAATATGATGCGTAGTCACTCCGGGAGTCGTTGCCAGATGAAGAGCTCTTTTTCTTGTCGCTGTAGTCTATTTGCTCCCCGATTCTGAACATCCTCTTGACTTCCCGCCTCGACTTCTCGCCCGGGTCGCTGGGGACCCATTCAGGCCCGAGCGCCGCGGCAGGCACAAAGGTGGACTCAAGCAGAATCGGCGGAGGGGACATCTTTTCGACCGAGGAGAGGAGTGACCTCACATTGTCGAGGATCTCGGTGAGGATCTGGCCGTCCGTGCCGAGTTCCCTGGCGGGGGATTTGTAGTCATAGTCTTTGCGGTCGGACTTAGCACCGAGGTCGTCAGAGGCGGAGGGCGAGTATGGTGGAGGGAGATCATCGTCATCAGGGAGATGTCTCGAGAGATGGTATTTGTCCATGATGTAGGTGGTTCAAAGAGGCGTTATGGGGAAGTGATATACCAGAAGTTGGGGAAATGCGTGTTTTGGTGGGATGGCTGGAAGGTTTGTGGCAGGGCAGCTCGAGACATGCAGCAATCCCTTGCGGACCGAGATGTAGATAGGTACTAGTTAGGTAAGGAAGGCAGCCTCAGACACGAGATCGAAGCTTTGATCAAGAAGCCTCGCGCTTATCTTCTGGACGCGACTCCGTGATTTGGCGCGATCGGAGATGGAAGTTTAATGTGACGTGTGCCTAGGATGTTGCCAGCAGCCAAGGCATGCACGAGGCTGGATGGTGAGAGAACTAATTTCCAGGCGGCCATGTGACATTGAAGACTGCCCCGGCCAAGGCCCAGCGTCGCGCTTTAGAGCCCACGTCCCCTGTCAGCTGTCCCTACGCCCCACTGCCAGCGTGCCTTGCGCCCAGGACTCACAGCGGTTGGGCACCGACAATGCGACTCGGCCGGCCGTGATGCTACATATCCGGGCGCAGACCCAATGAGGGCGATCCGGAAATAATTGCATCGGGTGATTGAGGCACTGATTATCGCCGCTCCCTTGTAGATCAAGGGTCCTGGCGCCCCGTTGGTGCTGCACTCAGAAAGGTGAAGCTACGGTGAACAGGCACTACACCTACACAGCCCCCTTTGCTGCCATTGATTGCGGTGCGGCTGAACATATCCTCTGCAGGTAACTGGAACCAGCAAATGAAACAGCGCATGTAGCGCGCATTCCTCGCTTGGTCTTGCCAGCGCGTGCTCATACGCAAAATAGGCAAACAGGCTAAGCGAAGGGGCCACCGTGTCCGTCGGATGCTACCATTCATGATCAAGCCAGGCCACTTGTTGCTGCCTCTGGCCCACGATCCTCACTCCAGGTCTCCATACGCCCGTAACTATGCCGGAACCGGGACCCACAAGCTCTCGCCCGGTTTGTGTGCCTCCTCCAGGCCCCCAAGCACGCTAAGACACAAGCAAGTCCGCCACCATGCACAGGGAAAGGATGTACGCCTAGCGCTTGGCTCCAGCGAGGCACTGAAGAGAGCTAGAAGATTTCCAGAAGTGACGGTACGGGGGACCTGCAGGGTCAGCCAACATGGTCTTCTAGCTGCTCCATGTGCTGGCCATGGCTGCTTGAATTACCGCTGTAACATTACACAGCACAGCCTCGCTCTAGTATGCTCATTACACACACCATGAATGTCTGCTAACAAGGATCAATCGTCGCTTTTGCGGCGAGTACCTGTTGAAGAACATATTTGCTTCACCTAAAGTTCCTTATCGTGCGGCGCGGATAAGCGGCAGGCCATCACATGACAGCCCCAAGGTTTGTTCAAGACGCCCTGCCCCATACTCCATGCACATCATAGGGCAGAGCCTAAACTAGGAGGGTGGCTTGGGATTGTTTGTGCCAGCGTTTCTCTTGGCAGGCAGCCTCTGATTCGAAGCAGGCAGCCTGCATGATTGTTTATTTAAAGACACGCTGCCACCCGCCCTTCTACATGATCTCCCCCATCCAACTTCATAATATCGAATATCAAGAGTTCAACTCACACTTGTGATCATCATCAGATACAGTTCACTCTCCTTCCAGTCAGTCACTACCAACCTAGCTTAGCTCAACAACCGCCACCATGTCCTATAGAATCTCGGCCCCCGACGAATACCTTGCCATCACTGGCATGGGCGTCGAGACCGTCAAGATCACCAAAGCAGCATGGATTTGGCCCTTCCAGAGATGCATGCGCTTTAGGTACGTCACCACACTTTGAATGCTTACCATGTGTCACTTCGTTTAACATCCATTCCCAGCGTGCAACCTCATGACTATGCTATGGACCTGCAGGCCATGACCAAGGAGAAGCTTCAATTCTCTCTGCCCGTCGTCTTCACAGTCGGTCCAGATGTCAACCAGCGGGGGGCAAACACCCAACATTATGAGGCCGCGTCAGAGGAGGGATCCGAGGGCGGTGCTGGCCGTCGTGAGGATCGGGGGGACGCACTTATGAAGTATGCCATGCTCCTGGCCGATTCAGACACCAGTTCGAAGAACCCCCAGCAGCAGGTGCATGTCGGGAACATCGTCAAGGGCATTATTGAGGGTGAGACCCGTGTCCTCGTCTCCAGCATGACGATGGAGGAGATCTTCACGGAGCGAGAGGTTTTCAAGAAACGCATTTTCCGAAACATTCAGGGTGAACTCGACCAGTTCGGTCTCAAGATCTACAACGCCAACGTAAGACCCATTCCATTCCACCAATTTTCTGACCCCGGGAGATAGTATTCTAACGTGATTAAATGTATAGGTCAAAGAGCTCAAGGACGCTCCCAACTCCGTGTACTTCGAATCGCTGGCCCGCAAGGCCCACGAAGGTGCCACCAACCAGGCCCGAATCGATGTAGCCGACGCCCAGCTGCGCGGTAACGTCGGAGAGGCCAAGCGCAAGGGTGAGCAGGACCGAGAGATCGCCAAGATCCACGCCGAGACGGCCGTCCAGAAGACCGAGCGTGATGTCGAGCGCGCAAAGGCCGAGGCCCACCTCCAAACCCACCAGGTCCGGTTTAACCGTGACGTCGACCTCGAGCGCACCGCCGCCAAGCGTGCTCTCGAAGCCAAGGACGAGGACCTCCGAAAGGACGTCGAGATCCGCCGTGCCATTGCTGAGACCGAGCGTCTCCGTGCCAAGGACGTCGTCCGCGCCACCATTGAGCGTGAGAGCAAGCAGCAGGCCGCCGACGCAGCCGCATACGAGGTTGAAGCAGCAGCCAAGGCCGCGGCCGAGGGTAACCAGAAGCAGGCCGATGGTGAAGCCTACGCTATCCGCGCCAGGGCCGAGGCCGAGGCCTACGCCGCCCAGAAGCAGGCAGAGGCCGACTGCATCCGCCGTTCCAAGGAGGCCGAGGGTATCGCCGCCCTCGCCCAGGCCTACGGCCAGATGGCCACTGCCTTTGGTGGCCCCGAGGGTCTGCTCAAATGGGTCATGGTCGAGAACGGCACCTACGTCGACCTGGCCAAGGCCAACGCCGATGCTATCCGTGGCATGGCTCCCAAGATCAGCGTCTGGAACACGGGCGCCAATGGCGGCGCTGGCGGCAGCGGTCAGCAGGATCCTGCCGAGACCATGCGCGGCGTCTACCAGATGCTGCCCCCTCTGATGACCACCATCCACGACCAGACTGGCATCTCCCTGCCCGAGTGGCAGTTTGGACGCATGGCTGCCGGCACTGACGCCGTCGCCAAGGAGGGCAAGTCAGTGCCCCAATAAGTCCACTCTTGAGGTTCCCATGATTTGATTTCTCAGATGACTGTCTGCTACGCTCTACCTTCTATTTTCGAGTGTTTTCTCTGCCTACTCTCTTTTGTTTTTTGCCCTGGTTTCGATTGCCTAGCGATGGAAGCCGGAATCCGTTTTGATACTTGATACCCCTTCTGAGTATTTCGTTTCGTTTGTCATTTTGGGAGGCACTCTGACACTTTGTCGTTATTGCATTTCCTTTGTCATGGCCTGTTGAGGTTAATATGGGTATTACCAGATTGTATCATTAGAAATGCCATATAAATATCTCGGCATTACTTTGAAATGTTCTCTGATTAACTTGTGACATGTGCACATCATGAATCAACGTAGTATCCTGATGGGAGTTCAAATATAAACCAAAAAAAAAAAAAAGGAACGGAAAAGGACCAGATCCGGCATCTCAACATAATGTTTACTTTTTTCCCCTTCTCGCATATGAGGTATCATATTCAATCCTGATGAGAGGACGTCGAATCAACGTAGCATAATTCAACTAGATAGCACGAGTTGTTCACCAGTTGACATCAGGGACTCAAAAGACCACCGAGATCTATCAAGTCCCGTTTCTTCGCCACTGCATCACTTTTCTTGTCGCTTGGATTTTCGATCTTCTAATTATGTTTTTACTCCAGCGCATGTGGCTGAAGCCTCGTGTCAGCACCATAAATCGTACCCCCACCGCTCGCTTATTACTACTGATGCTTTCAAGCGGGGCTGAGACAACTAAGCCACGTTGTATCTGACAAGGAAGAAGCGAGCTTTATCAACAACTCACGATTCGTGTCATCTCAGAGCGTTCTCTTTCTTTCATACATTCCATCCACCGATATAGCACGCCTGTTAAACCAACCACCTCTTCATCAAAATGGCGCTCAAACAGAACATCCAATCCCTCCCAATGGAGGTGCTCGATTGCGTATTCTCCCATTTGGGCGACAAGGAATCCATCAAGCAATCTCGCCTTGTTTCTCGAGCCTTTAACAACGCAGCTGCTCCGTATCTTATAGACGAGGCGCAAGTCCGCGTAACCTCCATATCTTTATCACGGCTCGAGGAGCTCTGCAACCATAACATATTTTCCAAATCCATCACTAACGTCACCATCATTCTCTCCCAGTATGATGTCAGCCTGGCCATGGATCGATCTCTCTTCATGCAGGATTGCACCGGGCGCTTACTACGGAATATGGAGATGCGCGAACGCATGGGGGCCTACAAATGGCGCCGCATGATCGCTAGCAGGTGCCGCAAGAGAGTGCCGCCATTCAGCTTCCAGGATAAGAGCAGGGAGGACGCTCTCCAGAGAGAGATTGAACAGCAACTTTGGGGACTGATGTACTTCAATCCTGTGCTCCTGAAGATATCAGAAGAGGGTTTCGATGAGAAAGAAGCTACTCCGTTCCAGCAGGTAGCCATGCGACTCTATACCAGATACAGGGAGCAATGCCAAGATCAGGAGAGGGTTCGCCGCGAGAACAAACACGTTGACCGAATTTGTTCTGCGTTGACCAAGCTTCCAAACCTTTGTAACCTGCGCTTCGACGACCCATACCTTGTAGTGGACAAGGAGTTGCAAGCTTCTGATTTCCCGGATCTCGGCTTTGATCGAAGGATGTTGGAACATTTCGACTGCATACTCTCGCCTTCGCGGTGGTCCGGCTCGTATACCACGAGGCATTTCATTCTCCCACAGGTTGAGATGTTGGGAGAGCTCTGCGCCCGGCTCGGTCAGAGCGGGATCAGACCTCGATCAGTTTGGGTGGGGATGACCACACCCGCGGATCTGTGGCGCCTCACCTTGTCAAGGGAGCAGCAGGCCGGCCTCAAACTTCTCATGTCCAAAGTCAGCCACGCTAGGTTGGGCGTAGAAGGGTTGGAGGCTAATGAGTGGCCCTGGGATGGCTACCTCGGCCTTTGCTCCTTTACTAAGCCCTTCTTTACGGCTCCTAACCTGGAAACATTAGAAGTGGATTTTGTCAATTATACGTCCGGCAATCGACCGCCCGAGGCCGGCTTATCTGATCTCCTACCCTTGGACAGCCCTTGGCAAAAACTGGATACTCTGATTCTCAGTTACCAGCCCGCCAAAATCGAGGAGTTGCGGACGCTTGTTGCTCTACAGGGGGATACTATCACGAATTTGAAATGGGACTATGGGTGGCTTCTGAGTGGCCGTTGGTCAGAAGCTGTGGAGCTGCTACGGGGTTTCCGAAAGCTCACAGAGGTATCCTTGGAGTACCCGAAGGGTGAGTGCTTCGGAGCAAATGATATTCCTACATATGACGTTCCTTTTGAGGAAATCCGTAGCTACATCCTCAAGGAGACGGATGCCAATCCTCTGGTCGCCGAGCATACAAGCTAGATCTGTACATGGGAATAAGATACTGGCCGAAAAAATGCACTTAGTTACTAGGTAATAATTAGATCTTTGACTCTTAACGGTTTTCGAAAGTTGTGTTCCTAATTTCTAGACCTGGGCTTCTTTACTTTCGCCTTATAGCACATACAGAAAGACTGCCAGGTATATATGCTTTATTGATGATTAGGGATTAGTATAACCTCAGAATCTGGGAGACTGTCAGCCATGTCAGATGAGATTTCTCCCCGCCTAATGATAAAGTGGCTGTATATAGGTATCATAAATATCCCATCAAAAAACTAGAGACAGAATATATAAGCAAATCCCTCGCCCAAACTAATGTTATTAGATTCCCGTACAGGTTAGATTCCTTGGCGTTGTTAGGGAGGTCGGAAGAAGCATACCGTCAAGTAACTGCTAGGGAATTATGCCAAGCAGTTTTCTTCATTCAGCCTGAGCATTAAATAAAACCGGGACGTTGCTTTTTTAGGCTCTCCTGTGCGCGCAGCCAATAACAGTACTCTTGCAAGCTGATGGATGGCCTCAACCACAATAACCTTGATCCGTGCATAAGCTGAACTATGCATGGGGCTTTCCATTGGATGGTTTTAGAAGGAGGCGTAATCTGTCTCAGGTTGCAATGATCTTTTGGAACCCGCAGCAAGTATCTTCCTGCCCATAGTAGGAGGGGGATTACTTCATCGTCTACGCCACACCTGTCCTTTACATCAGGCCTTGTTTTTTATAGGCCAGTAGGGTAGCAAATGGCACCCAACTTCAAAATCCCTCATCTACGCCTCTTTCAGAAGTACCGTAAGGGTACGTACTGAGCACTAGTGCACTGTTCACTGAATGCCTGTGTAGGACTCCTCTTGGGCCTCTGAAACATAACCCACGGAAAAGTCGCTCTCTCCGTTCAACAGCTCCCTCCTCTCCTCTCCCCATCTCCACCTTCAATACTCAGATTAGCGTCTACCATTAGCAACGTTTTAGTCTTTCAACCCTATCTGTAAAGCTGGACATGTCGCCACAAGTGGATACGGCCACTGCCCCTTTTGGGCCTATAATAGCATCAACCGCCGTAGGCTTAGTCGACAATAGTCTTGCTATTGATAGTGGCTCATTGGCCAGACCTACATCAGGCGTCGCAGTATCATCAAGCTTGACATCGCAAAGCATCGATAATCCTTTGACTACGACCCAATCACAGAACGTTGGACAACAGACGACAAGTCCCCCATCTCCTGACGAGCACTCTAGCAATAGTGGGTTTCCTGTTGGCAACCTCATAAATGCTAGATGACTCTCACCTAACTGATAAAATAAAGAAGCTTGGATTGCAGGGGCCGTGATCGGACCAATTGCTTTCATCCTTCTCCTTGCAGGAGCCTTCCTCCTCGGGCGCCGTAGCCGAAGATCGACTAAATCGACGACAAGTAATGACGAAAAGGGCCTGACTGAGCAGAAGCCACCAGAACAAGCATCCGTGCCCGAACTACACGAAGACAGCATTCTTCCTTCCCAGGAACTTTACGGCTCGCTTCCAGAGCATCCAGCTGTTGCCGAAAAACCTTCCAACGAACCGTCGGCTCAAGAGTTACCCGCCTCTACACCGCAGTCCAAGGCGAATGACAAGGGAATACGCAACAAGAAATACGAGGCAGTGATAACACTGGAGAACTAAACACTTTCCAGTGAGAAAGCTAGTTTCTCGTGTATTTCCGTGCTCATGCCGAACTGGTCGGAATCGTTGAATGGGCAAGAACTTCGGGAAACGAGCTGCTTTGACCACACAGGGTGCTCATTTGATTGCTCCTGATCAGACAGCCCGACGCAAATACCACTGATCCTAGTTTCACTATTTTGGGTCCGATACAAGAGCCGTCCAGCGCAGTAGCACGTTCGGCTTTCATAATGACAGATATTCCAATCCAACACAATGCCTGCTGCGATTATTTTACATGGATATTGAGGTATCAGAACGCAGGCCCGTCTCCAGTCCTGATGCGTTGGCAAATAAAAGGAGATGCTTCCGTAATATTTGCCAGAAGTCCAGTGGTTGTTTGTTTCCCCCAAAACCTTCCCACCCCAAGGGCTATAACTTATTCTATATAGATCCTTTGATATTAGAGGCCGTTGTTCGAGTCCTCGTCCTGATACTGCGTCTGATTGGGGGCCTTATTCCTCCGGCGTCGGCGATGCAAATCCTCGAAACCGAGAAAGCGTAAGCGTGAAGAGGGCCGAGTTCAACAAAAGTGAAAAGGACAGGCACTTAGACCCGAACTTCATGAAGATTGTGTGGTGCCTGCCCGGGAACTTTATGATTCACTTCCAGGGCACCCAGCTTTTGCCGAGAAGCCTTCGAACGAACCTTCAGCTCAGGCATTGCCGATTACTTGACCGAAATTCAAAATAAAAAAGGCATGAACAGGAACGAGAAAACGCTATGTGAAAGAAAACGGTGCACCTCCTATCTGAGAGTGAGAAGTTCCATCAATTTTGGACGAGCCGACATTTTGTGGGCAATTATCAGGAGGGACGTGAGTTTTGGGGCTTCTTAACTCTTAGAAAGTGGAAATTTTCAGTGGGAGAACTCTATTATTACCAACATTATGGGTGTTTGAGCATGATGCCAGATGAGCATTGATAGAACCTGGATTAATTGAGGTATGGCATAACACAACTAGAATAAGGTCGATGGATTAGCTATGAGCATATGGGCAAAAGAAAAATTTACAAGATCTTAGGGCCAATCTTTGGTGTTTCAGAACCATCAGCTAACGGACACTGTTTAGAGCTCAAACATGGCGCTTACAGCTGGGGAGAAACCATAGCCAGGTCTTGAACATGCCACCCAAGTATGTGTTTAGGAAGGCTGGAAGCCACGCAAGGTTGTACTCAATAAAGTCCATGATGATATGCACTTATGTGGGGCGCTTGCTAAGATATAATGTTGAACAGGGCGCTTTTGGTGAATATCAAAGCATACAGCCAAGCTCAAGCGACACAAGATACGGCATCAATGGCGCAGCATGAGCCTGCGATGAAGACATCAATACCTCTTCTGAGCAAGGTGGGCATATTTGACTTGTTTTCTGCTGAAGAATGGATCCGGGGGGATAATGAAGGTCGCAAATTTGTCGGGCGGGCATATCTTGGTTACCAAAAAGGAGGCCATGAGTGAGATATGTCTCGTCCCTCAAGCGAGGGTCAAGAATACGTATGAAGTGTTGAGTTTGGGTAGTCAATTAAAATGTTGTCTTAGATGCGCTGTGGGTCAAAACTGGATACATATTGTTCAGCAGCAGTTTATGAGTCCCATCTAAGAGATTAGAGCTGTAGACTGACGATTGGACGGTCAAAGTTCGTGACGGTTATGAGAAAGCCCTAGCATGCCGGAACGCGGGCGTGAGAGTTGGAGTAGCTTAACTTACGCAGGAGAAAACAACAATGGAAGAGGCCAAACCTGTCATCTCAACATAATGAATACCCTCATATTGTAATAAGTTAGGAACACAAGAAGGAGCTTCGCTCGTAGCTATGATCCATATGTACCGTTATATATACTCACAATGGCGTACATACCCGATTCCATACAAGCTCTATTCCCTAACTTGACTTCATCCACTTAGCTAAGCCAAGGCAACCTTGGCGCCTCCTGGCATAAGTTCAGTGAAAACACGGTCAGGATCATACTTGGCTCTGACAGATTTCATCTTTCGTAGGTTCCTTGCCCCATACGCCGAGAAGGTCTCGGGCATCTGAGATTTCTGTATGTCACTGAGGTACATGAACGGAAGCGGCCCCAGCCCAGCGGCAGAAAGTTTCGCCCGGATCTTCTCGTTGGCCTCGGCGTGTACGCGGAGCACGCGCTCGTCATCTTCGGGGTTCCGACCATAGAGGGCTTTCGACGTACCAGATCGCCGGGCTGTCATCTTGGCCGAGACTCATGGCGTTTCCGCGTGGTGCTGCAGTCATAATGGGTGTGATTGGGAGCATACTGAAAGCGGTGGAGAAATCTTCGACGTCCGCCAAAGATGCGATGCTGTCGTAGTAGGTGTCGAAAGCGATCCTAGCAGCTGTAGCATTGGCATCGCTAGCCAGCCAGTGGAATATAGCTCTTGTTCCGAGAGAGGGGCATAGTTGAACTCATTAGACCATTGGCCTATGGTCGTTCGCGAGATGTTTCCTCGTGTGATGGGTAAGATAGGTGCAGTAAAGTTCTCCAGCCCAATAGGTACATCCCCTTCACCGCTGTACCAAAGGTATCCGTCGAATGAGATATCAGGGCTGCGGGACGGCACCCAGCGGGTCTGGCCCTCGAAGGAAGCCTTGGGATGTTCTGCGCCGTGGAGTGCAAACTGCTCCACACTCTTGATATACTGCTCTGCCACACCAGGCCCCTAGGAGACTGTTCCGATTAGAGCGGAGGATATCGGGATAGTATTGAGAACAGCCTTAGTGACAATGCAGTAGTTGTTGCCGCCTCCAAAGAGAGCCCAGAACAGGTCTGGATGCTCCTTAGCGCTCGCCGTCACCAGCGTGCCATCAGCCAGAACGCACTAAGTTTGTGAGCAGTGTATATTGGCATGTTGGGCTTCACATATGGTAGGCAGGGTCGCAGTAATTACCTCAAGAGATCTCACAGCGTTCGACATTCCGTACTCATAGGCCATGAAGCCGAAGGGTCCCCCTCCTAGAATGGCACCGACAACTCCACCATTGCCCGAGCGAATGCCGTTCGCCGTGACGCCAAATTCATCCAAGTACGCGTACAGTGGCGGCCACGTCACACCAGACCCGATCGTGACAGTCTCGGTATCATCTGAGATAGCCATGCTGGTGAGATTCGTCATAGCCATCATGATCCCCTCTGTCCCAATGTTGGCGGCGTTGTCGATGAGCATGGCACCTCCGCAGCGAATTACAAATTGTACTTGGTGCTCCTGGAAAGTGCGAAGCGCGAACTGCACATCTTCCGCGCCTTGCGGAGCGAAAATACAAGATGGCCCGAGGTAGGTCGTTGAGGTCCAGGAGTCTATACACCCATTCTGTGAGCTCATGCTTGGATCGTGCTCGCGGCAGGTCAATGCTTACATTCATTCTCAAACTTGTATCGCTCCGAGCCGGGGAAGAAGGTCTTGTCAGGGTGGCTGGAGGCCAACGCATTGCAACCGTCGTTGACGGCAGTGGATGACACGATGGTCACCAAGGCAGCGAGGCCTAGAACAGAGGCTTGAAGAGACATTCGAACTCCACGAAGTGAACGACAATTGATAGTTTTTGACAGTGTTATATCTTCTGATGGTCGTGAGGTGTCTTTTACCTCGCACGAAATGCTTGCTATCTATATACTTACAAGACTGAGCGGTCAGGCAGCGGATACACTTAGATTAGTTTCTCAATGTGCCAAGGAGTGTCCATACTTCATACCCTTGAAACCGGATAATTGGAGATCAAGGCAATTATGACTACGCTGTACCGCACCTTCCGGATATCGAAAGGTCTCCAAAGCTTGGTCGTTTCAGAGAATCAAACTAATGATGGCATGATCCAGAACCGAATGCGCAACTCAACCAGTCTTCATAATAGCGTATAACTGTTACTGTAATCTTCAAACTTTCAGGGTTGAGAAACACGTGTTTGTTTCTGCTTCCACTGTGTAACATATGCGGCGAATGAGAGACAGTATAGCTCTGCTCGGAGTCTGTGGACAGTGAACGTGCTGGGTCGTAGTTTATCCTACCGGACTGCTTATTATGTTGAGATGTCGGCCCCAGCATCTTTCATTGGTGTTTTAAACTTTATACCCAAATCTCTCTCGTCTCTGGTCAGATTGAATGTTGTGAATGGTTTTGCTCGTTCTGCCAAAGCCTTCTCAAATCACCGACATCGTTGCAGTTGGCGACCAGCCCATTCTCTTGAGCCTTATTCCGGGGAAGAGATGTAATTCGAAAGATAAGCATGCCAATGTGGATCACAGTTTATGCATAAAAACATGCCTCGATGATGTGGGAAATTGACCCCATGTATAGTCATAGCTTCACACCGTATCATAATAAAACAACCTAAGTCAAGGTTGACTGAGGCCGAAACCGAAGGCGATAGCGGTACCGAGATGCATCCACAACCCCGGCATTTTGGAGAGATCGGCAGTAAGGATCGGCAGTCAGTCAAGTTTGGCTGCCGCACATCAATTACTTTTCAGTCACAGCAATGTCACTGGCCAAACGGGACCGAAACCGACGGCTAGGGATGGGCACCGCTTCAACATACTACGGTTACATGTCTTGCCAAGTGGAGAACCCACGTTCAGACTCTCATTTGGTTCCCTGACATGAGGCTAGCAGTTGCCGGCTCATTCGGTACATGAAGGTGCCTGGCGGGACCATCTCATCTTGCATGTGTCAAAGGGGTTGAGATCAAGGACCCCAACGATGTCATTATTATGCTGCGATTTGCAGGAACAGCTTATTTTGCCAAGTCCACGGCAATGCGGCAAGGCTGCGGCCTCAACTTACGTACACGGCAGAACTACCATACGTACGACTCACGGGCCACAAGGGACTGGATTATTATAGAATTACGTGTCTAATCACTGTGTCTCAGTTAAGTATATATGAGAGAGCGCCTGCATGTCAAAAAAGCTGATCCCAAGACAGGTCAAAACATACATACATTGCCACTAACCTTCCTCTTTTCCTATTTCTAAAGTATGAGGTTTCAATCAGGCGCAGCAGGCATTGCTATCTTATCAAGTGCTACCCTTTCGCCTCTTTCCGTGCTTGGCTTTGAGATTAGGGACAGTGTCAAAAATGCTTGTGATCAGTTGCGATCTGCATATCCCGAGGCTCTCCTGATGCCCAACTCGACGGCATACGAGGAGGAGAGAATCAACTTCTGGGACAAGAGGTCGAACCTAGACCCCGCCTGTATCTTTCTTCCTGAGACGGCAGACGCGGTGGCTGATGGAGTCGCCATATTTCATAAAGAAAAAGCCCAGTTCGCTGTCCGCGGAGGTGGGCATATGAATGTGAGCTTGATACCGGGAAACATTGAAGCTTCAGTCTTTTAAACTAACTAACTTCCCTAGTACCCTGGTTCAAATAGTGTTGACGGCGGAGTACTCGTTGGCCTAAATGGTCTCACCGACATCAAAGTCAACACAAACCAAAGTCGCATCGAAGTTGGTCCCGGGAACAAATGGGTCGATGTTTATGAGTCTCTCGCTCCGTCTGGGCACTACACCATCGGTGGCAGGCTCAAGACCATTGGAGTACCTGGCCTGAGCTTGATCGGTGGTGTCGGCTACTTCTTGAATAAGTACGGCTTCACGATGGACAACGTCGTGAACTACGATGTGGTCCTGGGCAACGGAACGCAGGTGGTGGCTAATGAGACATCTAACCCCGGTCTATTCTGGGCCTTGAAGGGTGGCGGCAGCAACTTCGGTATTGTCACCAAGTTTGTCTTCAAAACGTATCACATCCCACAAGTCAGCAGCACCTATCAGATCTTCGACGACTCACAAGCCCACGACTTTATCCGAGCTGCCTGCTCCATGATTCTTTCGGAAGACGGTGCAGTCGGTGCTGGTGCCGTGATCAACATCAACTATAACGTGACTACAAAAAAGGCTACCCCTCAGGTTTTTGGCCTCGAAGAGTCAACAACATCCCCGCCACCTCGTTTTAACTCATTTAGCTCTCTTCCAGCTGTGAGCCGCAGGAATGCTGTCATGCGACCGGTTGATTGGCACTCTCAGATGGAGACTCCCAATCAGATGTTCAGGTAGGCTTGGCCTAGAAGTTTTTTCCCAGTTGGTGTCTACGATTTATTCGTTCCTGATCAAATTTCCAGAGTACAATTCGGCCATCACACGATCAAGCCCGATGCCGAGCAGCTTATCTACATCTACGACCAGTGGATAGCCGCCATCGAAGAAGTTGCGGAGATTCCAGGCATTTGGCCAACGTTCATTCTTAACTTCGCACCTAAGTCCGGCGCTGCAGTAGCCAAGCGCAATGGTGTTGGAAATACTTTTGGTCTTGATGATAAGCAATCATATATCTGTATGACTGATCCTTTAAAAACCTCAAATTTAGTCATTTAAGCTGATGCAAAATTACAGGGTGGCAGTTCACAACCTCTTGGGCGAACGAAGAAGACGACCTGCGAGTTACAGCTTGGCATCAGCACCAACTCAAACGCTTGCACGAGATGAACAAGCAGAAGGGTTTGGCTTCCGACTTCCTTTACATGGGTGATTCTGGTGAATGGCAAGATTCAATCTCCACCTATGGAGATCGCAACATTCAGAAGATGCGCAAGATTAGGGACCTCTACGATCCTGATCTCACTTTCACGAAGCTGAACTGGGGAGGTTTCAAGCTTGGGTACTAACGTGGATGGCATTCATTTCAACTATCGCCAATGCGTCAACTATCAACTGTCTCGAGGCTTTTATTCTTCTGGTATTTTCTCTTATTCTGTTCTGCACGTTTTCCCGGGTATGGTCTCCTGGGTCGACAGTCTTGCCCTGGGTCGAGAGGCTCTGCCAGTGACACCGCTACGCTTCTCATTCCCTATTGTATATTCTTAAATCTCTACAGCTTATCAAATAAAGCTTAAATGTATAGAAATATTATAGATTTTATTACAATTACTATAAGATAACTAGATCCAGAGATGAAAAGCATCTATAGCTACAAAGATTGAATTAATCTAAAATATTCTTATATTACAATAACTAAGAAATGTGTTATTACATCCTGGTCATATGCCGGCCTCGCGCCTAGATTGTATAACACTCTCAGCAACCAAGAATGGTACTCAGCACTGAGCATCCGCAAGAAATTCCGAGCACTCAAGTATGTATATATACATATCCATTTCACTTAGCTAAACGCCCACTCCCTCAGTCAGCTATTAATAAACCTATCAGTTTATGTATACCACTGCAAGTCTAACCTGACTTTCCAATTCAATACCTGGCTTCTTAGTAACAACTCTATTGCCCCGCTCTAGTACTACCGTCATTAAACCAAGATTTCACTCCTAGCCTACCCTGTAGCCCGAGAGTGTACGGTTCATCACATAGAGATAATATAATCTATAACTAAGCTGATTATATAAGTAAGCTGATTACTTCTATCCAGAAATTAGAACTTCCTCTTTATAATTAAATAACTTTCTACTATAAAATAAATATAACTTTATATAAAGTAAATATTATCCTTATAATCTAAGCTCTTAATTAAAATCTAAAATTAAGTATTAGAGTAATAATAAAAATCTATTAAGTTCTATATATAATCCTTTATAACTAATATACTAATTATATAGTAAAATATAATATTTAATTAAAATTAATAAATTTATTAAATTCTAAAGAGAAAGCTATTATCTTATATATACTTAAGCTATTTATATATATATTTCCTTTTAGAATATATAATATTAAGGAAATAGCTAATATTCTACTATATATATATAATATACTCTCTATTAATATTAATTAGACTTCTAACTTTATTAAGTAGTAATTAGAGCTCTATATATACTAGATTTAGAAATATAACTATTAAAAAGCTAAATATAAAGATCTAAAGATTATTATATCTTAGTTTAGTTTTATATTAAGTACTAGTAGAATTTTCTAACTAATAATACTATAACCAAAGACCGGGTAGATCTGCGATTGTAATATTAATATTAGTTAAAGAAGAGGAATTATAATTAAACTATATAGTTAAAGCTAATAATTATAATTAATTATATATATATTTAGTATTTAGTTAGGGACTTCTATATTTAATTAATTAAATAAGATTATTTAGATTATTATATAAGCTAAACTAGCTATAGAATAATAAGTTAAAGATTATAATTTTAAAAATAAAGAATAATTTAAGAGTAAAAGATAGTTTTTTATTTTTTTAGAGTAGTAAAAATTTACTATTTAAGTAGTATATAGTAAATTACTCTAACTAACTATAGAAATTATATATACTCTTATATCTCCCTAGATATATTATAGCTAATCTTATAAGCTTAAAGCTACTTTAGTAATATATTAATCTAATAGAGAGTATATACTAAACTAGATTAAATTATATAAAAGAAAAAGAATCTTAGTTAATTAAGTTAAAATACTATAGTATCTTTTCTCTAGTTACCCTTCTGCTAGTAATATTTTCCCCTATTATAACTTCTTATCTACCTACTTATTCTTAATATTTTATTTCTCTTTATTATATTCTCTTATCTTAAGCCTTTACTTAATTAGCTTATAATAAGGTAGCTAGTACTAGAACTCCTTTTCTATATATTTAATTAATTAATTTAAAAACTTATCTTTAAGTACTAGGATTTATAAACCTAATAGGTATAACTATAATATATATAATACCTATTATATAAGGGATTTTATTATACTTATAAGGTTTAGAAAAGATATTTTCTAGGTATATACTAGCTAAATAGTAGAACTAATTAAATATTAGATCTATAGAACTTCCCGGGAGATATTATATTTATCTAGCTTTAGTATCTTCTTAAGATATAAAGTTATAAAGATTACCCTATTCTAGATACTAATAGTAGGTTATCCCCTGGGACTTTAGTAATTCTATTTCTATTAAAGTAGAATTAATTAATTCCTTAGTAGTATATATAGAGGTATTTAATCTATATCTATTATACTATAATAAAGTATATTAGTAGTAGATAAAAGCTTGATCTTTAGTTAGTAGGGTTCTAGAAGTCTCTTTATTTCTACTTATAAGGTTAATCTGTATAATAGAGTTTTTAATTATCTATTTTATTCTAGAATCTAGATTATTAAGAGTATATTTATTATTAAAAATAGATATAAATAAGATAATCCTGATTATATCTATAGTAATTATCTTAGAGTAATCTCTATTTTCTTTCTTTTCCTATTTAATAATCTAATCTATAGGGATAATTTAAGATAGATAGATTTTCTAAGGGTAATCTATAAAGAGCTAGATTAAAAGGTAATTAATTAATAGACTAGATATATCTATATCTATATAGCTAGCTAGAGATCTATCTAGAGAAGATATAATAGGAGCTAATATCCCCAGGCTAGTTATAGTAACTAATTATAAGTAGCTATTTCTACTCTCTTAGCTATATAGTTTTTTAATATTATTCCTAAAGAAGAACTATACTAGTATAAAATCTAGTATTAGGTTTATAATTCCTAATTTATTTACTATAATATTTATTATAATCCTACTTATTTAATTAAGTAAGCTTCTACTAAGAATATTCTAAAAGATAAATCTTAGTATATATAAGAGTTAGATTATTATCTAGCTTATAATTAGACTCTTATCTACTTTACTCTTATACTTTAAGAAAATATCTTCTAGTATAATCTCTACCCCCTTCTATAATCTAATCTTTATCTATAAGCAGAAGGTAGATAAAAAACTATAAGAGTAAGTATTCTCTTATAATAGGATTTAGAAATAGATAGTAATAAAGAATAAATAGAGATTTATCTTAAGATTAAAGGCTATAAAGCTTACTATTATATATCTAAATTAATAAAACTAATTAGTTAACTAAGTATTTATAAAGTTAAGAATATATTTCTTTTTATTAAATATAAAGAAGATCTAGTAATATTCTAAGGAATACTTATTATCTCTAAAGCAGAAGAAATCTATAATAAAATATTATTTACTATATTCCTTTTAAAAGTTCTTAAAAGAAGTAAATTCTCTATTATACTACTCTCTAATAATTAGTATTTCTAGTAGAAATTATCTATAACTTCTTATTACTAAATATAAAACTTCTAAACTAAGCTCTTATTTCTAAGTATTAATTACTAAGTAATAGATTAATTATCTGAAAATATACTCTTTACTATATAGTATAATATCTTATATTATAGAAAGCTCTAATTACTTATACTAATTATCTATAGTTCTTCTTATAATCTTAGTTATAAAGTTAAAAATATAAATAAAATATTATTCCCAGGTAGCTAATTATTAGCTAGATTAATTATTCTATAATAGATTTAATTAATTAGATATTAGTTCTAGAATACTATTTAGAATTATTCTGAGTTCTTTAGTTAAGTTAATATCTTCTAAGGGAAATATTTAATTTTAAAAACTAATATTATTCTCCTAATTTATATATAGTTTATAGAAGAGCTTATTATCCCTCTTAATATAGATAAGTTCCTAGATTATAGATATTCTATTTAATACTTCTATCTTAGTAATATACTTATAGTACTTAAAAGATTCTAGAGAGCTATATAGTAGTTCTACTATAATAATACTAACTTTAGGAGTACTTATAATATAGTAAATAGTTAATTAAATATAGAAGAAATAGAAGATATAGTTTTATAGAAATATAAAAGAAGAAGAGAAAGAGTTAAATAGAAGTATTAGGTTTTTATCTATATATATTATTATATAGGAAGGAGTATATTATTTATATATATATAGCCTTTTAACCTCTAAGTTATCTCTTATACTGCTTTTCTTTTAATTTCTCTTCTTTATATTATAACTTCTTTTAGCTTTATATATTTCTAAATACCTACTCTCTTTACTATATATTCTTATATTATCTTTTATTTAATTAAGTTACTTTCTCTTTCTAGGCCTAAGGAAAGAACTTATATATAAAATACTACTATATCTTTTAATATAAATTTACTTCTTTTCCTTCTCCTTACTTATATTATAGGCTCTCTCTAACTCCTATACTCTTAGGATTTACTTTATTAGGTCTTTTTTTATAAGTAATTCCTCTTAATTAGTTTAGTAAGTTCTCTTTTCTAATTCTTTTATATTTAGAATCTACTTAATTAACTATTTAAAATATTAATAGATTAGCCTAATAGGCTTCTATAGTATCTACTACCTAATATTTAATTACTTATATACTAATTAATAAGTATTAATAACTTTATACTTTCTTATTCTATTAACCAGGGTATATATATAGCCTGTATTCTATTTAATTAGATAATTAAAGTAGCTAGATTTATTATTTTTTATAAGAATTTTAATATCTAGTTCTATACTAGTAATACCTTTAATTATAATAGTAATCCAGTATATACTAAGCTATATTATTATAGAGATTATTATAGCTTAAGTTATATATCTTTTATTTATAATATTAAACTCCTTCTTAAGATAATATATAAGAATAAAGCTATTATATATACTTATAATCTAATTAATTAAATATAGTAGTATAATTTAGTATATATACTAGCTGATTATATATATCTATAGTTCTAATTCCTTAATAGCTTAATTATAAATAAATAATAATTTAAAGCTTTTATTATTACTCTCTATAGATATTAAAACCTAGCTCTATACTTATATTAT